TCAACGGAGGAGAGGGTTCCCACAGGGATGTCACTCGCTCTAAATAGATGCCAGTGGTTGCTCGTGGAGCAAGGTGTCCCCAGTGCCAAGCATCTCCATTTTGGTCTTGTCTGATGGACACGCCTGCTGACACACTGCCCAGAGGGATCCTCTGCTGGGAGGGTCTTTACTTTACTTTACTTTAGCTCTGGAGATGCAGGTGGCCCCCTTGAGACCAGGGGAAAAATGAGTAAGACAATGGCTTCTCGGATTTCGTTATCTTGTGTGTCACTTCTCAGTGGCGTGGCTGTTAAAAGGAATAGGGTCTGCGCTTTTCTTTCTTTTTTTTTTTTTTTCCAGGGACAACGGCAGAAGGGAGAGCCTGGAATCCTGTAGCCCACACACCCAATTCCAGGAGGCGAGGAACTCAGGAGCATCTTTAGGAGGAAAGAAGCAGTCAGGCTTCTCAGACAAGGAAGGGGAGAGGCCAAGGCTCCCAGCAGGACTGACCAGGCCAGCTGGAGGCAGAGCTCCCAGCCACCCGCGGGACGGGAGCTAGCTTTGCCAGAGCGTGGAAAGCATCTGAGAAAGGGACTCAGGCCAGATTCTGATTGCCAGTTAAGTCTACCTCCCCTGAGGGCAGGTGTACTTGACCAGGAGACCACGCCTTCCCAGCTCCTAAGAATGAATTTTCCAAGGTTGAATTTCTTTTCCTTTTTTTTTTTTTTTTAAAGTAAGCTCCACGCTGGGTGTGGAGCCTAACGCAGGGCTTGAACTCATGACCCTGAGATCAAGACCTGAGCTGAGATCAAGAGTCAGACACTTAACCGACTGAGCCACCCAGGCGTCCCTCCAAGGTTGAATTTCTAGTACCAACTGGAGGGGGGAGCATATTCTTACATATAATTCCTCCAGTCACTCCCAATAGAAAGCTTTTCCGTGTTTCATTTTTGTAGCCTCAGCCGTGCCCAGCTTCAAGGGGACCACTTTAGAGTCATTTATAACCTCCGATGTCACAGCTTGGCGGGGGGCAGTCCTGGGCTGACCTGGACTCTCAGTGGCCCTGGCCAGCGGGGGAGGGGAAGAATGGAACCAAGCTGGACCAGGAAGGGAGAAAGAGCCTGGGGGCAGAACTAGAAGGGTCCCTGGGAGGAGGCAATTGGCCTGTGTGCAGGGGTGTCATGGACGCCAGAGGGTGGGCCTGGAAGCGGGAAGTCAAGAGAAGAGCAGGTGGGAGCCTACCTCCCGGAGAGACTGGGATATGAAGGTCAGCTGAATGGACCAGAATAATCCAGACCCGGCTCTTACAGGTGGAAATAGTGTGGAAACCAGAGGAGCAATAGGACAACCAAAGGGAGCCAGAGGGAGAGATGGCTCCTGGGATGGGGTCTTGGTTGTCATGGCAACTAAACGGATAGCTGTTGAAACTTTCAAAGGAATAAATGACTCTTTCAGTGTTGTTGGGTTTCTTTTTCCTGTTATAGAGCAAGCCAGAGCTGTGCTAGGAGAAAGAGAGACGTGGTTCAGCTTGCCAGGGCCAGAATGGAAGAGAGGGTCACAAATGGATGCGCGATCATTTAATACACAACAATCCTGGCTGCTGGTAAGCACTGGGGCGGGCGTGGGGGTGGGAAGACCTTTTATCCTGATGCACTGACAGCGAGCTGGGAGGAGAGATCCGCACCACAGGGTCGGCCATCTCCACCCCCCGCCCCATCTTCCCTTCCAGAACGACATCAGGAGCGGGAGTCTTTATGGTCTTGTTTGTCCCCTTCCCACATCATAAAGCAAATTCTATTTCTTTACCTGCTTCTCTTAAGTCAGGGTTCAAGCTGCTTCCACTCTTTGCTGGATCATAGGTGGTCAGTCTGTATCATAGTTCACCCTGCTGTGGAAACACTGGGGGACTCTCTCTCCATGGTGACACCAGGTACCGGAATGGAGGCTCCCACACACTCCTGCCCGAGGCCCTGGTGGGGGAGGAGGGCAGGGTCCCAAGGTGCCGCTCGCTTCTTGTGTCAGTCGGCCCGGGCTGCTGCAACAAAACCCCCAGCTCGGGCAGCTTAGACGACGGGTATTTATTTCCCACAGCTCTGGAGGTTGAAAGTTCTGGATGGAGGTGTCAGCTGATTGATTCCCTCCGGGCGAGAGCTGGATCCTGGCTTGGAGGGGGCCTCCGTCTTGCTGCCTCTTCACCTGCTCCTTCCTCTGTGTGCATGGGCAGAGCCAGCACGAGGTCTCTTCCTCTTTTTTATAGGGACAATCATCCTATCTCATTAAGGCCTTATGCTTGTGACCTCATTGAACCATTAACCCCTTCTTACAGGCCCTGTCTCAGAGTACAGGAGGCGCAAATTCAACATATGGATTTGTTGGGGGACACAAGTCAGTCCATAACGCTCTTCCATTGACACTACATAAGAAGGAAAAAAATCAGAATCACAGGTCAGGACAACTTAGTAGTGGCAGTAACTTTTTATTTTTGTCTCGAGAAAAGAAAAGTATTGTGGTAAGAAAAATGTGCTTGGTTAATAGAGAGCAATGAGCATTATTAAAATGATAAAAAAAAAATATTGACCATAGAATTGCAATTGTTTTGAGTTAGTATATTTAAGTCTTAGACTAATGACCTCAGAAGAGGAGTGCTTCCCAGAACTTTTTTCTTTTTTTAAAATGATAAATAGGGAGGCCAGAGAGTGGATAGCCAGCATATGGATAATAGATGTTCTTGAAAGAGAGCCCAGAACAAAAGGATCAGAAAGATTTAATGCAGCTGCTGAAAAAAGAACTGGATATGTATATTGAAAGGGCAGAGTGCCAGGCAAGATCAATGATAAGAATATTATACTGAATCCTGTCCTGTCAAAAATATGTAACTATAAAGAGAACAAGGAAACCTGCTATGTGTCTACACACTAACAAAGAAACAGAATTCTGTCTGAACACAGACTTCACGGGTGTGGGACAAAAATGCCCAAACCACAGTGGACCAAAGTCTAAGTTGATTTTGAAGGTGAGAAGTTGTGATAAAATACATATTGTAGCCCAACAGTGAGTTTATGAAAACAAAGAAGACATTCAGAGCTGTGCAAAGGCTCAGAAAACATGTCACCTGTGTAATCTTCTTTTAAAATTACCTAAAGATACACTGACTGAAAGAAGGAGCAAAAAAAGAAGGAAGGCTAAGTCACTGCAAGAAAAGACCAGCAACATTGATTCACAGCATTAATGTTGCTCTCATGAAAATAGGTAATGTAGTTTCAACTTTTGCTTTTCAATTTAGTAGATATTTGAAGTAACAATTTATATAGTGTAAAAATAACAAAATAATGGCTTATATAATATAATTGAATAAAATTAAAATAATTAATACAAAGTAAAAGTAAGCATTTAATAATGTTAATAAATAGCCATATTATAGTGAATTCCTCCCCATTTCAATTAGGAAGCTGAGGGGCACAAAAAGTGACAAACACCTTGGGTTAAATATGTGGCTCATTAAAGATACTTTATTTTTGGCTCTGAATTTATTTATTTATTTTTAAAGATTTATTTATTTATTTGAGAGAGAGAGAGCACGAGCTGGGGAAGGGGCAGAGGGGGAAGGGCAAAGGGGGAGGGAGAATCTCAACCAGACTCCCCACTGAGCTCAGAACCTGATGTGCAGGGCTCTATCTCAGGACCCTGAGATCATGACCTGAGCTGAAATCAAGAGTCAGGTGCTCAACAGACAGGGCCACCCAGGCGCCCGTGGCTCTGACATTTAAAAAATAAGTAAAAAACACATTTGGAAAACTCGCAGGTAAATATTAGAATTAAAAACTCTCACAAATGCCTTCCAGAATAGAAGGTGAAAACAAAGAAAATGTAGACAAAAATCACATGAAAGTATTCCAAAGAGAAGGAATAAAATAATATGGCAGAAATAAGGCCAAGTATAAACAATACACGCAATGAATGACTTCTTAGAAAACTATAAAAGTGGAACTGATTCAAAAAGCAAAAGAATATCTGAATAGTTTAATGACCCTGTAAAAGCAGAGAACATGGTCAATATTACTTCTACAAAGAATGGTAGGCTATATAATTTTATGAATTGGTTCATTTAAAACATTATAAACTATTCCAGAGCATATAAAAGGTAGAAAATTTTAGGTATTCTTGTGCCAAGCTGGAATAGCCCTACATCTGATTTTGACAGTACACAGAAGCTTACGGACCAACCTCATTCATAAACACAGGAGCAAAATTCTGAAAAATACTCTCTGCAATGATATATGAAATATATAATATATATCTATATATATACACACACACATATATATAACAGAAACACTATATAACAGAATATACATATAAAACAGGAGCAAAATAATTTCCACACAATTTAGGATTCAGCTTAATTTCTTTTTCATAGTGGTAGGACTGTAGAGATTCTGAAGCTATTATCCTTGTAGTTTAGTTCCACCCTGCTGTGGAAACACTGGGGGACTCTCTCTCCATGGTGACACCAGGTACCGGAATGGAGGCTCCCACACACTCCTGCCCGAGGCCCTGGTGGGGGAGGAGAGCAGGGTCCCAAGGTGCCGCTCGCTTCTTGTGTCAGTCAGCCCGGGCTGCTGCAACAAAACCCCCAGCTCGGGCAGCTTAGACGACAGGTATTTATTTCCCACAGCTCTGGAGGTTGAAAGTAATGAGAATTACTTAATGAGCAAATGAGAATAGATAACCGTGGGAGAAGAGAGATGGACATATTGACCAGGAAGAGGCCTGTGGTGTTGGCTGGGGATTAGAGATGTATTTTAAACACACACACACACACACACACACACACACACACATTCTTTTAGGTGTAGAAAGAAACAACAACAAAAAAGAAGGTATGATGATGGTATGAAGGCTCTGGCTTTGAGTCAAGAGGGCTACCGATAGCATCCCAGACTCACTGACTGTCTAAAGATGGTCAGGGTCATGTCATCTGGATCCTGAGGTTGGGGTGCCTTAGTCTTTCTAGAACAGGGTCAAAGAGTCTGGAAGCTGTTCTCCTTGGCTTTGTAAAAAATAAACACCTCTTTGAGGTCCTTTTCAAATTCTGCCTCCAAGTCCAGTCCTATCTGACCAAAGTCGGAAGCCTGAAAGAGAAATAAAAGCAAACAGATGTCTAAGGACAAAGAATTAGGACCATCAAATCACTTGCATTTTTGCATTTTTTTTGCGGGGGGGAGCCCCTCCCTGCCTGTCCCGAATGCTGTGCTTCCCCAGCAGCCAGGCAGACTGCGCAGGGCAGGGGGAGATGCTGATGCCACAAATATTGAAATGAACGAGCCTCTGCCCGATTCCTAACTTGGACCTGACCGGTGGTCAGGACTGGAGAGCTGATTTTGATCACTGCAAAGCCTGAGCTTGGGGTAGAATAGATAGAGATAAAGCATTTCTTGAAAGCCCACCCACTGAAGGAAAGATGAGCCTTCCATTCTCTGAGGCTGAGACTGGGCCAGGCCTGGAGGGAGCTCCCTAGGTAGACTCTCCTTCCAGCTCCACGTGCAGACACCAGTTAAAAATTTGTGGTTCATGAACATGCCAATTTGTGCCATGGAGGAAGGGAAGGAGGCTGGGTGGAGATGGAAATCTTCCTTAGATATCTCCGAAGAAATACCTACCCAAATGATAGTATAAATCGGGATAAACTCAACAGACTAAAGTTAACAACCCGTTGGCTTGCAAGATAACTCAACTCTCGCTACTGACAAATGACGAAGCCAACACCATCTGAGGATAATTCTGGAGGTTTGGGTCCCCTGGGGAATTTAGGAGGAAAAAATCCAAGCATGAGCATCCTGGGAGTTTAAGGTATTTCATAAAGTTTAATTCCTTCACTTATTTCTGTATTTCTGAGGCATGGAAAACAATGCAACCACGAACTACCTTTCCTCCCCGTTTGAACAAGGAGGCGGGGTGAGATGGACTGTTCTCAGTGAGACTATCCCGCCCAATCCTAGAATTGGGGACGGATTGTTTTCAGGCCCCGTTTACAAGGATTCTTCCCGGTCCTGCTTGCTGAATTCCTCTCCACCCCTGGAATTTAGAGGCCGCTTTCTTTTGTAATCTCACTCCTTTTGAGCTCTCTCCAGGACGAGATTTGTACAATTCTCTCAACGTTCTGCTGCCCCAGAAATTAGCGAAAAGTAGAAAGGGGGTGCAGAGGAAACAGGAGACACCCCTTACCTTGTAAAATGTTTTATGGTTGCGAAAGATCAGGCGCATGTCGCGAACGAACCACGCCACTGTGTACACTTTCTCTGTCAACCTTTCCTTAACCAGGTCCAACCACATGGCTTCCTTAAAGGGCTCTCCATAATCTCGAATCTAGGGACAAAGCCACCAAAAGGGTGATATTAACGCAGCCATTATTCCTGGAAGGGATCCAACTGAAATACAACAGAAGTGATGATATTAGCATCGGACTTGTCTACGCCAGACACCGCTCCGAATACCGCCACTAGGTTAACATATGATCCTACAACAACCCTTTGAGATACGTCCTATAATTACCCCCATTTTCTAGATGAGGGAACCAAGGGAGGGAGACGATAAACAACCCACCCAGGATTTCACAGCTAAAAAATGGTAGAGGCGGGACTTGAAGTCTCCTGAGAAGGTGCCCTATAAACCCTCTGCTGTCTGTAAGAAAGATATCCCCACCAAAGAGAAGGCATAACTGAGGTGCCCGGGAGGTGGAGCAAGTTGCCGGGGGTTCCCAGAACCAGGACACGGTGGGTGGAGTTTGAACCGGGTCGTCCCCCTCCAGACTCTGCAACGAAACCTGCTCTCGGCAAACAGCAGTGCCCTTCGGAGTCACACTCCCAAACTCCAGAATGAGCTTTATAAAAAAGAGATGCCCGGAGGACAAGAATCATAAAATGTCACTTACATTAGGTGGGGTTTCTGCAAAAAAGGAGCTTTGTGGATGACAGTAGGTCTTCAAGAGGAGGAACTCACATTTCTGTAAAATGTGAAGAAAGCTTTAAAGGGAAATGGAGCTCGGAGAAAGCGAAGGCGGACCGTCCCGTGCCCAGACAGACGGGCACAAGCAGGAAGAACCAGACACAGCCAGCCGTCCAAACCACATTTGCCAAAGAGCCGTGGGGTGCGTCAAACTCTGTTTGGACTCTGTTTGGGCATTGAATCGCCATCCTCGGAAGCGAGACACTGCAGCCTCCCTCAGGTACCCATGAGCGCCCTTCCCCTCCCCCTCTACCTATTGACTTCTCCCATGTCTGGGGTAAGGAGAAGGCTTGGGCTTGGCAACCAACTCACCAACTGCTCCTCAGGCTGCATCTGCCTCTCCAGGACCTCAGATTCCCCGTGACACTGCTGCCTTCCCGAAGACTCCTTTATCTTGCAGAAGGTGCAACTCCATGGGCTCCTGAGAGGTCGAGCATAAGTAAGGGCCAGGCCCCTGGAAACAGCCCCTGTTCCTACGGCTGCCACCATCCTCCTTTCAGGCATGGACGATGGACACAGCTGGGAGATGAAGGGGACACCTCCCAGAGTCTCCAAGACCCCACGTGGGGCCTGAGCCCATGACCCTCCTCCCATGGAGGGTGGCAACAGGGGGCTCAGTGCATGCAGGGCGGTGTCAGGGTGAGTGGTGGGCTCTCCTCTCCCCAGCTGAGCTGCTGGGAGCGTAAGGCGCCCTGCCTGTCACACCCAAGTGTCAAAACTGGGCCTTAACCCCTGGGGACCCAGGCCTCTATCAGCCCGTCGAGCCCGTGGTAAAATGCATGAACCAGGCCACATTTCCTGCCTTTTCTGAAAAAGCACAGAACATAAACAGCTGGTGTTTCCCATCCTCAGTCCCCAGGGACAGGAGTCAGGGTTGTAAAACTAGGAGAGGACACTACCCGGGGGCAGTGGCAAGGTAGAGTCAAGGTGGCTCAGTCACAGACTCAGAACCAGAGGCTGTCATGATACCACATGGAACATAGGCTGCTGCCCCATCCCAAGGGTCTGGGTCACACCTGAGCCACCACGCTCACAGGTCCTGCTTTTCCGCCTGGAGTTGAGCCACCAAAGGCAGAGCCCGGGCAGAGTCTGTGTGCAAAAGGCAAGGCTGGGTTTCACTAACCTCTCCTCTGCAGACGGGATGTGACAGTCTTCATGAAAGGCTCTTGGACAAGTGTCACAGCAGAAGAGTGGTCCCCCTCTACAGCACACCTCACATTCCTTGGAGTTTTCCCACTGGAAGGGGAGATAATGGAGCAGTGCTGGGATCAGCACTGACACCAAGGGGCTTTGGAACACACCATCCTTGTGTGTTCCAGAGTGGATGTTTCCAACCCGCCTGACCGTGGCACTCCGGGAGAGTGCTGATGGAGGGCGAGCCTGGCTTTTCCAATCGCAGAAGGGCTAATGGCAAGAATCATCAAGCTGCCCCTTGAACCACACCTGTCAGAGCTGGAAGGGATGGAAGGTCCTTTAAACCCTTTCTACACAAAGTGTGGTCTGAGGACCAGCTGCATCAGCATCACCTGGGAGACATGCAGACCTACTGAATTGAAATCCATTTTAACAGGATCCCAGATGGCGTGGAAGTACATGAAAATTTGAGAAGACAAAGCTTTAGGCAACCTCCTCATTTTACAAGCCTGGAAAGACGAGGTGCTTTTTTTTTTTTTTTTTTTTCTGCAGAGTCAACACAACTTAATACCTGAGCCAGACTGGCACCCAGGCTGCCTGTGCCTGGGTTCAGAGCTGTTCCGTCCACTGTGTGTCATCCCAGGCAAGAATGCTGGGCAGACCCAGAACAGTTCCTGACATTATGGCCAACAAACAGAAACATAAAGACAGAGAGCAGCTGTATAAATGGGTCGTTTTGTGGGCCTTTGAAATCATTGTCTCTCTCATGGCCTTAAATTGGGAACCAGTAAATTCTACAAGTGATCTTTACTGCTGGATAAAGACCTACAGGCAGGAGCCCCTGGTTCCACTCCTGACCCTGCAAGTTGGACAGTGGGGCTCCACACACAAGGACATGTTTTCTCTGCACTAAAGGTAGGAGTCAGGAAGAGGCATCTTTCTAGGTGGTGAAAAGGTGGGAAATAGAGCATCAGGAGCTGGAGCAAAGGACTGAATGAGCTGGGGATCAGTCATACCTAAGGAGAGAAATCCTGCCACTACCCTCAACTGTCCACAACAGAAGTACAAGGACCTGGGTGAGGGCATAAGGGATGGAAATGTTTTGTCCATTCTCAAAACTAGCCACTCAGAGGGGCGCCTGGGTGGCTCAGTCAGTTAAGCATTTGCCTTTGGCTCAGGTCACGATCTTGGAGTCCTGGGATCGAGCCTTGTGTCGGGCTCCCTGCTTGGTGGGGAGTCTACTTGTCCCTCTCCCTGCTCATGCTCGCTCTCTCAAATAAATAAATAAAATCTAGCCACTCAGCCAGAGTAAAAATTCCTCTTGGTTTGGGGATGAGTTCATCTCTGCCTTAACTGGGGAGGCTTCCTGAGCAAATTCCTCTACTTACAGGGGCCCCCAGGACTGCATAAAGAGGGCTCCCCACCAGCCCTGAAGTTCGGGTGATCTTTCTGGACTTCCTATCCTGAACTTCCCAGTCTGCTTTTCTTGGTCCCTGGAGTTAACACTCTATGGCCATTCTTGCCCTCTGACTGGCCTGCCCAGGTCCAGGGTGCAGACCCCAGTTCCCCAAGCAGCCCATACCTACCCACTCCTCCTAGTTGAGACCCCAGTTGGATCCAGAGCCCCAGCCCCTCTGTAGTGTGAGCACTGATAGGGTTTTTTTCCCCCTTTTTTTTGTAATGTGAGTGCCTAACTGAAGCCTGGATTGCTCCAGCACCCCAATAAACACAGCTATCTTGCTATTTCTCAAGTAAACATTTCCAGCCACACAACTAGATAAAGAGCCGGGCCACCAATCCCCACTGAGGCTCCTTTGTTTTAGGGATCTCGGTTCATTTCAATAACTGACTATTTGGGCCACTTGTTTGTTTTTAAAATTTTTTTTAAGATTTTTATTTATTTGAGAGAGAGAGAGAGAGCAGGGGGAGAGGCAGAGGCAGAGGGAGAAGCAGACTCCCCACTGAGCAGGGAGCCCAACACTGGGCTGATCCCAGGACCCGGAGATCATGACTTGAGCTGAAGACAGATACTTAAACGACTGAACCACCCAGGTGCCCCTGGGCCACCTTCCCCCCACCCCTTCCCACACTTTAAATTCTAGCTCTTATGTTTTAAATTCACCAATAAAGATTGAACCAGAAAAACCCTAGGCCCCCACCCTCTACCCCAATAAAAGCAGAACCTCACACCTATATGCTCATTCCCTCTCTCTTTCTACCTCTTTTTCTACCTCTGTCTCTCCATCTATCTCTGCACAGCCTCACTGTATGGCCCCAGATGCACTTTGTAATTTCCAGGTCCTGTAAATAATAAACTTTTTTTTTTTCTAAGTTTCCTGATGCTTAGTGCTGGAGGGCATCTAGTGATTGTAATAAGAACTACAAAGGCCGGTCCAACCACAACATTGGTTATTGATAGGCGGTGACCAACACAAAACACCCCCTTCCCTAGGCTCTGGAGTGGAACAGTTTCCAACACACATGATATGACAGAGGAAGAGACAAAGGACTTACAGCTCCACAGCCGTGTTCTGACTCTGGCTTTTATGTTTGATTGCTGACAGCTTCAAGTCCCACTCCTCCCTCCTTCCCTTTTGCCACATCAGGGTGGCAACTGGCTAAGGAAGCTCATGGGCTCCCCCTCTTGGCCCCAGTGAGAAGTTCAAACCAGACAAGCTCTGCCCCTGCAAGGGAATTCTCACCCTGCTCCCCCCCCCATCATAATAAAACCTTGGGCTACTCCCCCTCACTACTCAGGCCATTTTCACAGCAGCTTGGGAGACTGCCCTGGTCTCCCTAGAAAGCCTCAGTACGTGACTAATAAATCATTTCGTACTCTCTTGGTGCATGTAGTGCATCATCAGTTTTGATATCTGGACCCAGTTTTTGGTGGAGGGCTGATCCCACTTCCTTGCCGGCAATCAGAAGACAACTGGCTCAACAAGCAAGGAGTCTCAGTGACTGGGGTCTGTCTTCTCTTGCTCTGGCTTGCTGACTGGTTCCACTAACTGGCTTATGCTTTAGTGTTCCTGCCTGCTGGTCCATGGCACTGAGGTTGCAGTCATCCACCATGAGGCACCATTCATTCTTCCCAAGTTTAACAACAGACCAAATGGGCAGTCGAATAGAGAAACAGTAGAGGTAATCACTCCTGTTTGAAGTAGATCTTGTATCATGAGTTTTGATGCTTGAAGTTTATCCTGGATTCTACTAACTATTTTAAGAGAGGGGAGGCCCATGGGTTCCATTTTTTTTTTTAAGACTGATTGCTAAGTGTCAAAAACTTTATTTTACTTCATTATTCATTGGGTAAGAACATCCATGCCCACTGTGGGATATTTTAGAGCAATGAGTATTATGACCATGGGGCATTTAGGCAAGGCAACAGTTTTGATGGTTAAAGTGAGGTATACCTGTTTGTCCTCTATTTTATCTTTGGTAATGCCCCTAAAAGTACAGCGGGTAACTTGTTTAAATTTAGTGGGATATAATTACTTGCAAAGGAACTCCACCCATTAAGGTCCTTATACCCAGTATTATCGAAATTACTGACACCAACTGCTTGGCAACTGGCAAGTGTTTCGCTGTCCCAGATTTGGCTAGGAAGTTCTGCTTTGTGCCTCTTTCAACAGCATCTCAGCTGCAGCTTGCCTTCACCTCTGTAGGGATATAGCATTACTTTTACATGGTTGCCTACAGTACCTCAACAGCTTTACCGTCACCTACAACCTCTGCAGGCAAGATCTTAACTACATCCCACTCTCCCCCGGAGCACAAATACAACACCACATTGATGACATCCTTTTCATTTAACATACTCATTCCGAATGTCTAATTATTCACAAAGGAGCTCACAAAAAGGGATAGGCCATCATCTACACACAGTACAAGGCCCCATCAGCTCAGCAAACTTCTGGGCATTATTTGGTCATTTGAAGGCTGCTCCATCCCTGAAACTGTCAAGAAACAATTGTTGGAAAAGCCCTCTCCGTACCCAAGACTATTGCCCAACATCTTTTAGGCCTTTGGATTCAGGGTAACATATTCCTCATTTATAGATTTTACTTATGTCCATGTATGCTTACTTGTAAATTGGCCCACTTTGAAGAGAATCCCTTTAATCAAAGGCTCTAGAATCTGTCCAAAAAAAAGGCAAAAAAACTGTTCTCCTTAGTTCCCACTATACAACATTAGAGTAACCACTGCTGTCTTCATACTGGGCCCTTCTAGAGATGGAGGGTCTCACAGGCCCTGAGCCTATGACTTTGTACCAGCTGCTCATTTTGCCTTGGGTTATGGGAGCAGCGTCCCCCAGGGAAGTCACAAAACATATGTTTGGAGTATCAGCATCAGGTTTCTTGAAAGTACACAGAGACAAAGATAGACACCAATGGAGACTGGGTATGTTGCTGAGCAACAGTGATGTATTAGATAATGTGGCTGAAGAAAAGGCCTGCATTCATCCATTTGTAGTCATTACAGATTATCTCATTATCCCAATGTGGCTACTGATAGGCAGGACCAAAATGTCGGGTCAAGTGTGCTTCTGACTATAATGTGCTGACATGTGGCATTATGAGTGAGAAGGAACTATAATATTGGGGCCATTAATTAATGCTCTGGATTTAAAATATCTTTATTGTTTTGTTTCCTGGTTACAAAAGTAATAAATGGTCATTATAAAAATTTTACCTGTACAGAAATGTGTAATATGGAAGACAAATGTCCCATATAATCCTATCCCAAAATAACCAATTCATTCAGATATATTTTCAATCATAGACCTACATAGTCACATAAACAAAATTGGGCTCCTTCTACTACTACTACTACTACTACTACTACTACTACTACTACTACTACCACTACTACTACTACTAGTTTAAGCTTCTGAAAGCTTTCTTGACCTTAGAAGCTTTGGGTGGTTTTCCATTGACTGAGGAGGAGTCTATACCCATGCATTTTTTTTTAAACACCATTCAGTAGATATATCAGTTTATTTTATAATTATGATGGGCATTTGTATTCTTCCCTAATTTTTGGTTATTACAAGGAGCACCCCTGTACACATTAAGGTATTTCAAATCAGCATGGAAAAGATGTTTTATACAATAAACAGCTTTGGGGGCCCCTTGTCTTTTTGAACTTTGAATGAATCCAGCCAAGGGTCAGGCCAGCCTCCAGGGTAACACGCGAAAGGCACCATGGGAAGTTCATGAATGAGATTTGTATCTGGAGGACATATTTAAGCAAGTGAAGAAGGCTGAGGAGGAGCAACTGGTGCACACAATGATGACTGCCATTTTCACCTGGAGGGATGCTCTGCCGAGACAAAGCTCAGTTCAAACACTATTCCATTTTGGTGCTACTGATAATGAGCACGTTGAATTGAGGAATAGTTGTGTTCAATCAAGGTTGGTCGTCTTGCTCTTTCACATACTGTTCTTGTCTACCTCCATTTCATAATTACTTTTCAAACTAGAGCAATCTATTTCTGACACCTTTTATTTGTATTCATCCAAATATCTAAAACACATGTAAATCATCAGTTTTTGTCCTAGTCCGTATTTTAAGAGTTATTTGTGTTCCCATCACAAATTAACTATGAAATTATGATGGCACGTACATGTATCAATGTGCCAATGCCATTGTCATGGAGACGCAATGCCCGAAAGTAAAGGTGACCCAGGGCTGGGGAACTTGAGGACTCGAAGGTGAGCCTTTGGATGCAGAGAGTCTGCAACCTGGTGACTGAAAATGTGGTAGAAATTCACCTGCTCTTTACCTCTCTCTTGACACTTATTCTTGGAGGACAGAGTAAAAGTCCTTTCTGAAAGAGAGAAGGGGTCAGTGAATGAGGTTATTCTAGAGGCTCTTCTTTTGTCCATATCGAAGTTCCCACTTCCTAGTGAATATTTGTACCTGGACATCCTACTGGGTCTCAAACCCAAGGTATATGAAAGAAACATTAGCTCCATCCTCCAATCAGTTCTTCTTCTGGACTTCACTCGATAAAATCATTTTTTTTTCCCCATTACTCAAACCCAAGATCCATTAGTCCTTCTTTCCCAGTTCTTTTCTCACTCACTTTTTCCCTCTCCATTTCTCCTTCTGCAGGTAAAGTCCTTATGATTCCATCACAGTGATAACTTTTTGAGTGTTTTGGGGAGGCTTTGTGTTGGGTTCTGGGATCACAAAGACCAATAGCCTTGTTTGTTGCTCACAGGATAGTGTGTGAGCTGGGGAAGTACAGAGGAGAGACTGCCCACAGACAGGGTGGTCCTTAAAAGTGTCACCCAGGCGTCCAGATGGAGCAGGGTCTGGAAGAGGCCTTTATTGGGCAGAGGATGCAAGGCTGCTCTCTGAGGTCTGTGTCTCCATCTGGCTTCCTCCAGCTCACCCCATCCAATATCCCCAGGCTAAGCTTCTTAAAACTCTCCTGACCTCACAACCCTTTGCTCACATTTAAAGTTCTCCACTGCGGGTACCACCCATCTGCGTTCCTAACTTTATCACCCACAACTTTTTTCTCTGAAAAATCTAGCTCTTTCTCAATCATGCTGTGGAATCCCAATGGAAATTCCTTCACATTTCTGTTATTGAAATTCCACTTATCCTTCAAGGAATTAAAACCATCACCCATCTGTTCCCTGTCAAATACCTTCAGCAGCTCTTCTAAGGTCTTTCCTCTGCAATGCACAGACTGCTTCCATTTCCTTGTATTTGCCCGTTTTCCTTCGATTTCAAATTCTTTTGGTGTGAACCAGACCCCCGCCTCATTCCGAATGCACTTCTCTGAGGATCCTGTAAGATAAAGACGGCCCATTCCCAGATCCAATTTCATTCTCTGTGAATTCACCCTAAACCTCAAATACTTAACTGTGGTTGTTCCACCTGCCTGGGTCCAGAGGGACTCCCTGTGGGGAGGGAGAAGTAGCAAGGGAGTCTGGATTCCTCCTTTCTCAGACTGAAGGAAGCCCTGAAGCCTGCAGGAGTGATGTGGGAGTGGGAGAGGATTTGCATCTTATGTGACATCTACACGTGGCAAGTAGAGCCACTGGGTCCATGGATGACTTCCACGCGGGAGTGGAGTGGCTCAGCCGCCAGGTTTACCATGATCCAGAAAAGTGAAAATTCTTTCTCAATAAGCACTTCTTTCTCTGCAGCCTAGCTTGCAGGGTTTATTTCCTGGATGATTAAACACATGGGTATTTCCCTCTCTTCTAGTGGTTCTAGGGGTTCCAAAGAGCAGAAGACCGAGAAACCCACCTTGTTTCAATTTCTCCTTATATAAAATGCCTTTGGCTTCACCACAAGTCACAGGAAGTTCAGGAGAGAGAAAATCCACAGTTTCATCTTTGGCTTTTTCTGAAAGTAGAAGAGTGTAGTGTTGCTCATTCTTCATTCTATCTCCTTCATGGATTTTCCTTTCCCTAAATTCTGATAATAGTAATAACAATAATCACGTAAATGGTACTGGAGGACAACCTCCGGTTAACTGGCAGAAGGTCTTCCATTTTGAATGGCAGATTAGCTAACATGGACAGAGCAGTTTCCGATCAACAAAACCATCACCACCAACACTACATCAAACAAAATGTTTAGTAAAACATATAGGGCTTCTTTGATGAGTGGGTTTTAACTCATAAGCTAATTGGCCATCACCTAGGTTTCCTTTATTCCGTAAGCATGCTGCTTATCTCTCTGTGCTGATAGAAGTTGCCTGCTCAAAATATTTTGTGGTGCTCATGTAGCCGGAGGAAAGGTTTTTGTCTATAATCTTATCTCCTGATTTAAACCAAGGCAGGATGAGTGAGGTGCTTAGTGCTGAGGTATTAGTGTCAGTCTTCATTTTTTGCTGTCCTTTTTCATTTTATTGCTTTTCTGTTTCTTCCTCCGTGAGTAAAAAAGAAAAACCTCAAGAACTCTAGACTAATCTGCGAATTGCTCATGGAGAGATTTGGCAACTGTGAACCCCTGAGTAGGGATGTGGGATATTGATTCAGGAGAAGCAGTTGTAAAAGAGTTTAAAATAAATATCAGCAATTCCTGCTTCTTTTTGCTCTAGCCTTACTGTGGGTGGATTCATTCCAGATAGACTGCAGGAGCTGTCTCTAGGGGCAAGGAGAAAACTCTGCCCATGGCTTATGTTGCATTATACAGGATGTTACTTGTGGAATAAGGCTAGGTGAATAACTAGTCCAACTTTCTCTCTTGCCTCAGATACTTATTAAAAGAGCCAAAAGGAGGGGTGCCTGGGTGGCTCAGTCAGTTAAGTGTCTGCCTTCGGCTCAGGTCATGATCCCAGGGTCCTGGGATCAAGGCTTGTGCCCAGTTCTCTGCTTGGCAGGGAGCCTGCTTCTCCCTCTCCCTCTGCTGCTCCATCTGCTTGTTTTCTCTCTCTCTCTCTGTCAAATAAATAAATAAAATCTTAAAAAAAAAAAAAGAGCCAAAAGGAAGTGTATGAGAAAGCAAGAGCACCATTGGAAAGAGAACAGAGCAGCATCAATGGTGAAGAAATCATTAGTTACTTTGGAAAGATGTGAACTAGAGTCAGATAAGAAAGCAGAGATTCCTGAGAAGTGAGGGGATTTCTCCCCTGAACAGAATGCTAGAAGATGCCTAGCCTTGGAGGGGCAGGGGCTATAGCAAGCCTGGGTAGGAATGAGGGGTGGGAAGAACTTAGTTTCAAGAGCCAGCCAGCATTCTTGCATGGAATGGCTGGCTCCACTACTTGTCTCCAAACTCTGCCCATTTAAATAAATATGGCCCAGGGGTTGACAGCTCAGCCTCAGGAGCCAGATTGGCTGGGCTTATAATCTTGGCTGTGCAGTTTACTAGCAAGGTTATGTAAGTGCATATTACTGTCAAAGTTGAATGGAAGATTTGCCACTGGGGGTTCCTAATGAGGGTGACAAGGCAGAGCCACAGGTAACTTTGGACTATTGCAAACCCCAAGGGGGATTAGCAGGGCATTGGGGACCTTGTATAGTTTTCTGTCTCATGGAACTAATTCCTTAATTCCCTATGGTAAATATAGGTCCCAAAACACAGATGTCCCAGACATGGTTGCAAGCAGATGCGGGAACAGTGGGTGGCACTGGCAGCTCTGGGCAGCAAGCCATGGTGCAGAGTTGTGGGCACAAACAGAACTCCCTCCTTTACTTGGTGCAGGCAGCTTACCAAGTCAGGCAGGACCTTGTGTCCTGAGTATTTCCAAAGCCACCACCGTGTACCTAAGTAGGGACAGCTTTCTGATCTGTTCCCAGTCATCCTGCGTTTGGCTTAGTCTCACCTGCTCCTCTTGCAAACAGGCTTTTAAAGCTGGAAACCTGAGGGGAAGGCCTGCCTGCTGCTCTCCCACTCTATGAGATCACCATTCATAAGTGTGAGTAAACAATGAGGAACCTGCTATGAAAAGGAAGCAATTAACAAAGAGAGTTCATGGAAATGAAAAGCATGGTGGAGGAAACAAAAACAAAGCCTAACAGAGACAAGGAAAAGCAGAATGGAAAAAAAGTTAATTACTGATTGGATAGATGAACACAGGGAAAAGGCACAAGATGAAAATCATTCATGGACAGATGTGGCTTGGGGAAAGGTCTGGAGCTCCATGGTAGTAGTCACTGGAGCTCATACTGCATTGTATGAGGAAATGGAGGCTCTGATGTCGGTATGCATACTTTGTAAAGAAGAATAGATAATGTATTGATCTGATAGTTATTTAAACATAAACTGTGTGAGGCACAGAGAAGTTGGACATAGAGCAATGAGCAAGATTGACTGCTTACTGATCTCATTTGACTTTCACACAGCCAACAGTTAATTATAGTCATGACAAGGGCCATGAAAAAAAAAAAACAGTAGGCTCTATGAAGGCATGTCGGGGAGACCTACCCTTGCCTGCTGGGACAGAGAGTTCTTGATTCAAGGTGAGGCCTGAGGGTGTGAAACAAAAGGAAGGAGAGCAAGGGGGGATTAGCTTTGGGGAGGAAGTGTGTGAGGGGGACACACTGAGGAAGTCCTGAGCAGGAAAGGGGGGCATAGCATCCAGTGTCAAAGTGGCCTAGGTTCTCAGAAATCAGGCTGGTGGGGACACTCGGGGTGTGGGTAGGGGTTGGATTGTGGGTGTGGGTTAGGTTGTGTTTCTTGACCTAGGTGCCAGGTACATATGAGCTTTTCCTTTGTGTTAATTCCTCTAGGTGTACATTTATGGTATGTGCATTTTTCTTAGGCACCTTACACCAGTGCTACTCAACATGTTAGCGTGTGATGAGACAGCAGCTTGATCAAAGTAGAATCAAGGCTCTCAGGGTCGTGGGATCGAGCCCCAAGTTGGGCTCCATGCTGGGTGTGGATCCTGCTTGGGATTCTCTCTCTCCCTCTCCTTCTGCCGGTGCCACCCCCGGGAGGCGCATTCACTTTCTGTCGCTCTCTCTCTCTCAAAAAAGAAAAAAGAAAAAAAAAAAAAATAGAAATCAAGGCATCTCCACTGAGGAGGTCTTGCTGTAAAGACAATTTGTCCAGTGTCACAGTTAATTTATAAGCTCCTTCTTTTTGCAGACCGGCCACAAACGGACTTGTCAATGGCACCAGTCTGTGGACCCCACCTCAAGTAACCTCGGTTCTACTTCAACAATAAATTCAATAAATTCATGGGGAAAAAAAAACCAATGTCACTGGAGCATAGAGGGAAGGGAGAGGGAGCGGGGATGATGTTGAAGATGTGTCACAAAAGCAGAAGAAAAATGTGAGCAAGCAGAAGAAGAGGAGGAAGAGAGGAGAACAGTGACCCCAAGAGGCCTCAGGGTGCAGGGGGCAGAAGCAAGCCAAGGGGCTGACCCACGGAGACCAGGTTCGCACCCTTGTCTATCTCAGGAAGAGAAAGTTCAGCTCTCTGCAGATAGGAACACCAACAGGGCCTTGCTTCCATAAGGGTTTTCACCCTATGGCATGAAGGAAGTAGAAGTTGATGTTAGAACTTGACTCATGGGTTCAGTCATTCTCTCTTCAACATTTTGGGTCTTTGTTGGTGGGTTCTCTGTTGAGGAATCCATCCTAGTGCAGAAGCAGGTGATTGGGTAGGCAGCACAAGGTGTGCACTGACATTCCCCTGGAGTGTCAGGTGTGACACCTTGTTAGAGTGGAGAAGAATGCAGGTGAAGGAGACCTAGGCGGTAGACAAGAATGGGAGGGAAAGGGGAGGAAGACAGGGAGACAAGCAATTAGCATCTGGCCAGGGCGCCATGCAGCCTCACAGGTCCTGCTTCTGGATTACTTACCCTTTGGAAGAATATTTTCCTGACACCTTCTTGTTGAACTTGAACTGACATTTTTTTCCCTCTTCTTTTCTAAAAAAATGAAAAAAAAATAGTGTCATCTATAATTTGAAACATAGATTTATATGCTTTATGTATCAACTATTTTAAAGTAATTTTTTTCTGTCTTTCTACCGCTTTGGAGAAACAAGATAGATATGAGTCTTGTGAAATGAATATAATAGCATTGATCATGGAAAAATAGCAAGCTCATGTTAATAGACAGGAAGACTAAAAATATTATAGATGCTGTATATTCATAAATTAATGTATATTAATATAATGTATAATAATCAATATAATGTTTTTAATACACACTTATATCCATAATATATATGTATTTAATACAAACAATAGAAGTAGATAAAGGATATAACCTTATAAACATAACACAGAAAGGGTTTTTTAAGGAAGAAATATAGGGCATAAAGCCATGGTTCTCAATGTGGGGTGATTAGGTCCCCTGGGGGATATTTGACAATGTTGGGAAATCTTTTTGTTTCTCACAGCTGGGAGGAAGAGGCTACTGGCATCTAATGGCTGGGATGTTGCCAAACTTCTCATGATGCACAGGACAGCACTCATGACAAAGAATTATTCAGTTCCAAATGCCAATCAGTGTCAAGGTTGAGAAACTCTGGCATAAACCATCTTGGAAAGGATAAACTGATTTGTCTAAATAAAAAAAAAGTTTCCACAACCAAAAATTTCTCAAGTTAAAAGACACAAATAAAATAAGAAAAATTCCAATAACAAAGTGTTCATTTCTGTAATAGATTAAACAAAAATGAATCATCTTATACAAAAATGGGCAAACATGAACAGGTGATCCTGAAAAGAAAAAATTCTAATAACAAAATTTATTTAAAAAAAACGGGTATCTTAGTGGAAATAGGCTAGATGATGTTATGGTAAATTGTGTTCCTCCCAAAAATCAGTGGTTGATTACAGGTATCAGCAAATGACAGCCTGATGGCCAAATTGGCTCAATACCTGTTTTTAAAAATAAAGTTTTGGGGTACCTGGGTGGCTCAGTTGGTTAAACGTCTGCCTTCGGCTCAGATCATGATCCCAGAGTCCTGGGACTGAGTCCTGCATCGGGCTCCCTGCTCAGCAGGGAGTCTGTTTCTCCCTCTGCCCCTCACCTCGCTCATGCTCTCTCTCTCTCTCTCACTCTCTCTCTTTGTCTCTCTCTCAAATAAACAAATAAAATCTAACAAAATTAAAAAAATAAAAATAAAGTTTTCAATTAGCAATAATCGCGCCTCGGATAAACCTCACTGGCTACGAAACGGCCACTGCGCATTGGAACACAGCCAGGTGTATTTGCTTATATATTTGTCTCTGGCTGCTTTCATGCTACAGTGGCAGTGTAGAGTAGTAGTTGCAACAGAGACTGTATGGCCAGCAAAGCTTGAACTATTATCTGGCCCCTTTTAGAAAAAGTTTGCCAAGTGCTGGTTTAAAACAACCCAGTTGTACTTCTCCTTCACGTTACTCATTCATCACAAGTTAGATGAAGTTCCATGTCATTGACATACATGGCCTGGGGACAGAGCAACCTCTCTCTAGAACACTGTTGTTCCCATGGCAGAGAAAAAGATGATACACAGGATCTTAAAGCTTTGGCCTTGAAGGGACCCTCACATCTCTGCCCACATTTCTTTGGCCAAGTCAAGGGACATGGCCACACTGGAGTCCACAGGGCAAGGGTATGTAACCTTCAGAGATATCAGTGACCACTAATACAACCTATCACATGCAAAATGCAAGAAAATTCAAAGGAAAACATGGGTGGAATAGCATTTTTTTTTTTAAGATTTTATTTATTTATTTGACAGAGAGAGACACGGCAAGAGGGAACACAAGCAGGGGGAGTGGGAGAGGGAGAAGCAGTCTCCCCGTGAAGCAGGGAGCCTGAGATCATGACCCGAGCCGAAGACAGACGCTTAACGACTGAGCCACCCAGGCGCCCCTCATTCTTTGTTTTTAATCTGTCAAAACAGAAAAGTCTTACTATTTCTAGTTTTGGTGGAGATGGAGGAAAAAGAGCATCCCTATGATGTTAATGGGAGACTAAACTGATAACAATTTGATCATCAGGATGTGCTAATTTTAAATATTGACTAAGCCACTTCACTTCTAGAAATAAGCCATTAAGAAATATTCTTAAGAGTGTGTCCACTTTGAGGATTGGTGCCACTCCTCCCAGGGAGCAAGCTTGGATCAGACAGGAGCCCCCAGACTCAGTGGAGCAGTGGTGACTCTACTAAGAGAAATGTCAACAGTAGACACTGGGACATGGTCACGTTGAGCCCGCGTGGCACAGCTGAGCTGAGCTGACCTGCATGTTGGGAGCACTGTACTGACTTCTTCCCACAACCACTTTCAGTCCAGCAGCTCCTTGCTGTCCTGTCTGCACCGCTCCCTTCTACTGTTTCCTTCACACAATACCCAACCCTGTGCCTGCCCCATGAGAGACCCTCCCACACTGAGCATTCGAATGGCAGAGTCAGTCCGCAGCTTACCCTTTGGTCCAGAGGTTTGGACACATTCAGTCCTTGCCTTTTGAGCCCTTGTCATGATCTTTGAGTTCCTGGTTGAATCATCCTTCCTTTCAGTTGTTTGATCCACCACATGGAGCTTCTTTTGGATTCTGAGCCTAGGGGAGGCTGCCCGTGGGATAGTGATTTGTGAATAGTTTAAATTGGGGTCCCCAGCGAACTCCCTCCTCCCCCTGTTAGTGACTTCCCCTCTCATACCCCAGTCCTCCGCCTTTCGGGAAATCCCTGTACTCTTATACCTCTCTTTTATGTTATTTTCTTATAGTTATTCCTCTTCTTTTTTGTGTGTATCTTTTTTCCTTCCCCAAACTCACAATTCTTCATCCTGTTTCTCTTTCTCCCCTTCAACTTCTCTTTTTGTCTATTAATTACACATGCATCAGCTAGAATGTAAGCTCCCACTTATGCCATTTTTTCACATTAATAACCAGTTTTTCAAGAGTGGAAGAAAAATAGAGACATCATTATAAGCCACATATAAGAGATTTACTTAGCTAAAACTCAAAGGTATTTGTGATTTGCTCACTGCTGAACCCGTAGGACTTGGGACATGTACCTAACACATACCTCACACTCCATTTGCCTTTGTTGACTGGATATATAAGGGGAGCACATTTTTGAAAATATTAAAATGATGTATTTTTTTTATCCTTATAAATCACAATGGCCCAGGGTTCCCTAATTATTAAATTAATAAGTGTCTGGGAAAGGACAGATCCTGGCTAGAACTGAGACGTCACTGCTCAGTTGAGACTGTTTTGGAGACCTTACACAAAATCTTGAAACACAGAACTTGCTGAGAGCCCAAGGGATTTCTAAATTCCAAAAATTACCTTTATATGCTAACACTACAAGTTGGGAGGTCTAAATGTGAAGTTTTCCTAGAAGAAGAAAACTCAGCATATGACAAAGACTAAGTTTCTCCGGCTGAGGGAGACGATGGGGTTGGAAATCAGGAGGAAGAGACAGGAAGAAAAAGAGGGCAAGCGCGTAGATCTGAGTCCCCTCCTAGGTTGAACCCTGAGACTGAGAGGCACTGGAAACAAGCAGGAAAATGTGGAGCATGTCCAAAGCAGTGATGCTCATGTCATGATGCATGTTGGGAGCTGAGGGGAAATGCCCTCCCAGGGTGCTCACAGAATGGCCCAGAATCCAAGGGAATCCTTCCTGACTGGCACACCTTGGGTACATGGTTTTGAGTAAAAGAATGAAGGAAAAGGGAAGGAGAAAAGCAGGAGGGAGAGAGTTCAGGGTGACAAAGACAGCAGAGAGATAAAGCAGAGGAACCAGAAAATGCAGTTTCGCAAATTTTTGTTTCCTAAACTGCAAAGAATACAATTTTCATGCATGGAGTAGACACAAGATAAGCAGGCATGAGTCAATTCAGGTGATTTTGAACGCTCCATGACTCCAAATCTAACTCCAGTTTGATATTGGGAGTCTGAATCCTGCCTGCCCATTAAGACTTGCTTTGTCTATTCATCCTGGTTCTGAGCCAGACTAGACACAGTCCTAATCTCAAAACTGTCTGACACCTTCTGTCCAGTTCCACCCTATCCCTCCCATTGATAAGAGAAAAGAAGTCTGCTGGAACCAACATGGTGTCTGGGTTCTCCTTCTTTTGTGAGGAGAGGTCCTTTAACAGGGTAGTCTAGGGGGCAAGGATGGGACTGGCTGTGCTCCAGGGAAACCCAGATAGCCATGTAGCAGGAGAGGAGGCCATGCTGGTCATCCGGTAAGGACCGTGATGAACAAGGGAATAGTAATTTCATTTTTCTTGCTTACTTCTTGGGAGCTTTTTTTCCTGTCTTCTTTTTGAAGATGGCAGGTTGTATTTTTCTGTCCTCTTTCCTAAAACAGAAAAAAAAAAATCATCTCTTATGGCTATAAATATTGATCTTCAAGCTTGAAATGTCAATACTTTATAAATAAATTTATGTAAAAAAAGTACTGCATTTTACTCGGAAATAAAAAAAGATTGAACAAAGAAGTAATAGATACACCAAATTATCAACATTTAAAATATGCCATTTAAAAATAAAATATGCCATTTTTTTCACATTAATAACCAGTTTTTCAAGAGTAGAAGAAAAATAGAGACATCATTATAAGCCACATATAAGAGATTTACTTAGCTAAAACTCAAGAGCAAAATCATAAAAGTAAAAGATGAATAGATTTGACTGTTTAAAAAATAAAAAATCCTCACACTTTAAAAAACATCCTTATAATATTAAGACAAAAAAATGAGGAAAATTGCAGCATATGTAAAATATAGAGGCTTAATATCCTTACTAGATGAAACAAAAGAGGAATAGAACACTAGGAAAATGGGAGAGAACATAAGTTGAAAATACTCAAAGAGGAAAGACAAATGACACATTTATTTAAAATAGTCTTTAAACAACTAATCATAAAAAAAACTATTGTTTGGTTTTAAGAATTCCCATCTCTTAAAAGGTTTTATCCTGCCCAGTGTTGATGAGGACGTAGAAAATGAGCACTTATGAGCACTCATATTATCAAAGAGAATGTAAACCATCCCATTTTCTGAAGAACGATTTGCTGACAGACAAAATCAAAGATGTGCAGACTCTAACCAAGTAATCTCACACTTAGAAATTAATTCGGAGGAAATTATTGGACATGCGTGCAAAGGTACAAACACACACAAACATGATTTCTATTTTCATATAAAAATTGGAGATAGCCTAACTGTCCATCATATAGGCTATTATTTAAACTAAACTGCTAATTATACAATAATGTGCTGTATAAAAGAAAGAAAAACAGATAACATCGATATGCAGATATGTGTATTAAATACACAACGATAAAACTGTTTATAGACCATAGAGTATGAGCTTCTATGTGTATAGAATGAGATAAATGTATGCATATTTCTAACGTGTAGAAAGAAAGTGGGGAAAGCAGATATGAAATAGGAGTTTCACTTCCTGATTAATAACTTCCCATACAGATTCTGTGGATTTCATTGGGAACATTGTATCACATAGGCCACATTTTGGTGGTTTCATGTTCATAGTGTATGTCTAAGTCACACAGAGTCCCTTGCGAGACTTGGAGTCTCCCAGCAGCCTTTGCGGTAGTGCGGAGACCCATGCTGCCTTGGCCTGCTGGCATCTCCCTCTTTCACACACTTCTGCAATCAGGGGAAAGGGGTGCAGAGATCTGCACAGTGCTCTCCTGTGTTTTGACTCAGAAGTGACACTCATTCCAGCTCATTGGCCAGACCCGTGATCACGGCCCTGTCTCCTGCAAGGAGCTGAGAAATGCAGCATCCAGGGCAGGGAGGAGAACTGGAAATAGTGGAGAGCACTAGCAATGCTCACCACCACGGTGTGCGGGGAGGGGACTGCTGATTATTTGGCTTTCCCTGGTCTCGCTTTTCTCTGCTAATCAAGCGGTTTGATTTCGAGCTGGATACCTGTCCTTTGAGAAAAAAAATGACATTTCCCAGCCTCCTTTGCAGTCAAGTGTGGTCAGGTCACTCGAAGCAAAGAAATGGTAACAGAATGTCTAAAGGCAACCTCCTTCAGCGGAGGAGACATGCCCTCCTAGACCTTGCCTCTTCCCTTTGGTGGGAATGTAAACTCCCTGGCTGGACCCCAGTGAGGGGAGGCCACACTCTGAGGTTGGTGGTGCAATGACTAATGAGTCTGAGATTCTAGGTGCATGATGTCAGCCCTGAACCGCCTACCTCCGCACAGGAGAGAGAAATAAGCTTTCTTATTTCAGCCACTGGTTTTTGAGGGGAAGGGCGGTTCTTGTCCCATACAGCAAGCTAATCCTAATGGCGGCTGAATATTGCTTTTGTAGTGTGGAAAATTTTCTAGGTTGAAAAAAATAAATAAATCACTGTTTTAAAAAGCACAAATCTTTTTATGGTCTGGGATGTCTTTTGTAGCATAGAAGAGGGCTAACAACCCAAAAAAAGTAACGTCAAATCCACCCTAACAGAGACCAAATAGGTTCTTTACACTTACGCTTTTCCCCAGGAGATTTTCCCAAAGATGGTTTATTTCCATTATTTGTTGGATCTAGAAAACAATGAGAAAGAAAGTCATTTTAAGCAGGCTTTAAACTTTGTGACCACCTCATTTCGGACCATATTGAGATGGCAAAGCTTTGACAGTATTATTTCTGTCCCTCCCTTTATAATGGGGAATGATGGCGTCTGAAGAGAGTGCTAGGGGACCAAGGTGCTTCTCCTGTACCACCATCCTTTGCCCACAGGATCTTGGAAAAACCCACTCATTCTTTACATGCCTCAGTCTCCTCATCAGGAAAATTTGAATGCATTATTCAACCTTCTCCAGATTGTTGTACAAACACAGTGAAATTATCCATGAGAAAATCTGCAATATTACTATATAAGTTAGTGCAATGTGGGAGAGACTGTTAAAATGCTCATTTGTATTTCAAGGTGGTCAAACTTAACTCATTCTTTCTGACAACAAATACTTGTCATTTGAGAGTTGCATTCTATGAATTAGTGACACAACGACCACATCGCCAGCAAACAGAAGAATGTTCGTATTTTTTTTTCCCTTCTGAGGATAGTGGTAGCAAATGCACAATGGTAGTGGTGGTGAGGGCGGATTCACCTCACTGTTTGTCAGCTCATGCCCACAATGATAATCAGCTGCAACTGCTCAGTTGATTACAGTACTACGTTTGTGTTTATGGTGAGTTGTTCTCTTCCCAATTCTCCCAGAAAGGTCGAGTGAGAAACAAGGAAATTCAGATCTTAGGAAAAATTTTGTTCCATGACTTTGGCACTTTCAGTAGAGCACCATGAATGTATTTAGAACACATTCAGCAGCAGTGGTATTGCCCCAAGGTAGAAAAAATTGGTTTGGGGATTAGGGTGGGAAATCTTATTCTTTTTATGTATGATGTATATAGATAGATATTTATTCCTCCTCAAGATAATTTTCTATCTCTCTAAACATAAATGGATATATAATATATTTGTGGTATTAAAATATCATAGGTTGTGTTCATGGTTAGGAAAAAATATCTGAGAGGGCTCCTTAGGGCAGTGACAATGGAAAAAGGGCTGAGAAACACTGGTTTAGGATCAAAGAGTTCTGATTTGGGCTCCTGGGGACGGCCCGCTGAGACTTTGCAGTCCCTCCTCTTTACCACGCAGGACGCTTGGTGGTGTGCTGGATGGCTCCTGGGGGCTCTTTTCTTCATCCATTTCTGAAGAGTCATCACTGGTTTCTGAAAAAAAGAAAAGACATTTCTTTCAGATCTCAGAAAATGCCCCGGAAAGCTCCATAGGAGTCTCCTGAAGTCCCAGGAGAGACCTTTTGCCGTGAAGGCTGGAGGTTCCAGGTCTTGCTTGAACCTCCATAACCCTTCCTGAGAGTGATTCTACCACCGAGTCCACCTGCCACTGTGGGGAGGAGCAGAGCAAGGCTGGGCAGCAGAGCATCCTCTACCAAGGGAGATGTCCAGTGAGGTGCAGTCATCTGAGTCCCTGGATCAGAGGCTCAAGGTGAGGTTGTGAATCCCCTGGGATATCCCAGAAACCCTTTCAGGAGATCTTTGAGGTCAAAATTGGTTCCATACTAAGATGTTCTTTGCCTTTTCACTATGTTGACATGTGCTCACATGGAGCAAAAGTCATGGCAGGTAAAGCTGCTGGTGCCCTAGTACAAATCAAAGCAGTGCCCCTAAACCTTATGCAGTCTTCCCTGTCACAGACCATTAAAAATAAAAAAGTCAGTTTCACTTAAGCATGTTTAAAAAAAATGTTCTTAATGAAGCAATTAAAATTATTAACTTTAACTTTATTAAATTTATTAAATTCCTACCCTTGAGTATAAGGATTTTATTTATTTATTTGAGAGAGTGAGTGAGTGGGAAGGAGAGGGAGAGAGAATCTGAAGCAGACTCCCTGCTGAGCACAGAGGTGGATGCGGAGCTGGATCACATGACCGCAAGATCACAACCTGAGCTGCAACCAAGAGTCAAGAGTCGGATGCTTAACCAACTGAGCCACCCAGGCGCCCCTGAGTATACATCTTTTTTTTTAAACATTTTTATTTATGTATTAGAGAGAGAGAGAGAGAGCACAAGCAGGGGGAGCAGCAGAGGCAGAGGGAGAAGCAGGCTCCCTGCCGAGCAGGGAACCTGATGCAGGGCTCGATCCCAGGACCCTGGGATCATGACCTGAGCGAAGGCAGACGCTTAACGGACTGAGCCACCCAGGGGCCCAGTATACATCTTTTTAATACATCTTTTTAATAGTCTATGTGGAAAACTGAGGAGTTCATATAAAACAGTTCACTACATCTTGAAGCATGAATGTCTTGAGAAAAATACTTGTGTGATTGAGCTGCAAGCTCACTGTAGAATTCAGTGAACCAATATTTTCCAAATGTCCAAGATATTATAAAATCCTGCATAAGTAGAAGATCCATTTAAAATGCAAGACAGCATAATGCATTGTATTGCAAGAGTATAAAAAGTTAGGTTTTAAAAAAAATTCTCAATTTTATTTTGTTTAAATTCAGTTAATTATCATGTAATGTATTATTAGTTTCAGAGGTGTATAAGAAGTTAGTTGATGTGGTTTCAGATGCCACATCTCAACTAACCTTTATGAAACCATCCCTTCTTGACTTTGGGTGCAACATCAGAGATGAACATAAAAACATAAAACATAAAAACATTTAAAAACATAAAAACATAAAAAAAACTGTTAAAATACTCCACCCTTTTAAACTGTGGATCCTCGTGAAGCTGGATTATCTTCCTGTCCTTCCACCAAAGCAATGTATCCCAATCAATCAAACACAGAAGCAGCGGTACAAATCCAGCTGTCTCTGATTCCGCTAGACATTAAGGGGTTTATAAAAATGTAAAATGGTGCCAGTCTTCTCACCAATTTTTGTATTTGGAAAATATATTTGTTTTTCATAAAAATATGTTATTTATGTTAACAGGTAGTTGGTATATTACTGTTACTTTTAAATGAATTAACACATAAATATTTTTGAACGATAGGTTTTAATTCCTAATGAAGTACACATAGATAAATATAAACAACAGAAACAAAAGGTCTTTAGGGTCCTCCATAATTTTGAAGAGTGTAAAGAAGTCTTGGGACCAAAGAGTTTGAGAGCTGCTGCCTAAGGTCACAGCTGAGGTCAGCTGTACTGTGTGGACAGAGCTATTTCTGCACAAAATCTCCTCAGGTGCAATAGATCTTTGTTCCCTCTTGTCACACACAGCTCACCAACTTTCTTGGCACTTCTACTATTACCTTTACACATCCCTCTAACGCTGTGCCTGCTCTGTGAGAGACCCTCCCACACCGAGCGTTCAAATGGAAGATTCTGTCACCAGCCTTACCCTTGGGTCCAGAGGTTTGGGCACATTCGGTGCTTGCCTTTTGGACACTTGTCATGACATTTGACTTCCTGGGTGAATCATCCTTCCTTTGAGTTGCCTGATCCACCACTTGGAGCTTCTCTTGGCTTCTGTGCCGAGGTGAGGTTCTCCCTGGGTCAAATAGTGAATAGTTTGTGAATAGTTTTCACTGGGGTACCCAGTAAAGCTCCGCCTCCCCCTCCCGTGACCCCAGCCCCCACACTTTGAGATCTCTGTGCTCCTGTGCCTTGTTTTTCTTCTGCTACTTCTCTGTAATTACATATTTTTTCTTGTGTGCACCTTTCTTTCTCCCTTAGACTCACCACCTGCTCTCACCCCTGTACAACCTGTTGAAATTAACCAGACTCCCAGAGCAGTGGAATTTCTTTCCTGGGCCCTGTTGTATGACACCTTCACTCTGGAGGTTGCCCCATCCGAGTGAAAATGGCTAAGTGGTCCGTTTTGGCACCGGAGGAGGTTCCTGAGGGCCTAGGTGTGGATCAGGAGGGATCTAAGGGTCCCTAGGTTCCTCTAGTGGAGAGAGTGCAAGGTATCAAAGAATTGTGATAGAGTGAAAGTCTGAAACAGAGAGGATTTGCAAGGGGTTGTCAAGGTTAAGGTTCTCTTTCCCGCGGTCCTGGATGCCTTCATTTTGCCAAGGACTTATATTTATATCTTTGGATCTGATTTTTTTATTGAGTGCCAGAGTGGCATATTGTGGGGGAAATTAAACTCCCTTGATTTCTCAGTGCTTCTGTAAAAAGCCCTAGCCTCCAGAGACATGGAAATAAATACAGAATAAAGATAGGGAATGCTTACTTTCACTTCCCTGGAAATATTTCACTTTTCACATACGATGAGAATGAGATCTGTATCTAGTAAATTGCTGTCTGATCCAAAAAGATAATAAAACTTCTCATGTCCTGAGATTGCCAAATGCCTACAGCAGGGCTAGCTTCCTAGGTTAAGTCCCAAAGACGCAGGATTACTGAAGCCCTTCCTCCATAGGTATTTACACATCAAAAGGAATGAAGCCCAGAACTTGGAGACATCCTGAGTAAAAGCTGGAGACACCTGGGCTTTCTCCCCTCTTGGAAAGAGGCATTTAAATTCCAAAAGATTAGGGTGAGGACTCAGGATTGTGTCAATCTAATCTCAAAGCAGCAAAGTTTTTTTTTTTTTTCTTCTCCTTTCAGGAGGGCAAGAGGATGACTGTCCTTGTCCTGTCTGTGAACAGAAAACCCATCATTCTCTGTCCCTTGTCTATGCGATATCATCTGCCTCTCAGAAAGATTCCATCAGCTCTCTTCTTTTTGCCTATGGGTCTGCATATGGGAGGTAGATGCTGCAATGTTACTCTGGCTGTTGAGCTGGTTGTGAATATCAATAAGGAATTCTTTCCCCTGATCCAGGTGCCTGGGTTCCTGCAGTGGTCATACACATAAAGAATGTGCCTATTCCAGTAGGGTACCCTCTCAGACCCTTCACAGTTGTTGACAAAGCACTTACCTGGCATGGCACAAGGGCATAGACAGCTAGCACAAATCTTGAAATTGGCAGGTCAAAAATTGAAAATTCTAAAATTTCGCCCCCATTATTTGCATCTTCTCTAAGCAACACATTCACCCGGCCATTCAAGCCAGATACTGAAGAGCAAGCCTTGCTGTCTCTCTCTTCCCCAGCTTCCAATTTATTAAGGTCTATCACCTCTACCTCCAAGTTGGTCTTGAACTGGCTCTCCTCTCTCCATCTCCACTGCCAGACCTGAATGTAGAGTTCTGTTGACTTGCATGACATCTGCCCCCCCAAATGGTAGTAGCCCTGCTTCCATTCTTTTCTGTTTCCAATTCATGCTTTACACAACCCCAAAATTGTTCTTGTCAAACGTAAAATGGGATCATGTCACTTCATTGATTAGATCTCTTCAATGTCTCCTCATTTCATTAGAATAAAATTCAACTTCCCACACCTTGACCCACAAACAGGAGCTGTCTGCAGCCTCTGACCTCTTCTTGTTCTCTCATCTTACCTTTTGGGAGCCTTTTTTTCTGGTGTCTCTTTTTTGGAGTTGACCAGATACTTCTTTTTCTTTTCTTTCCTAAACAGAAAGGGTACAGATCATTTTCCCATGGCCACGAACATAGACCTGCCAACTTTACGTGTCAACAGGTCTCAGCTTTGACTTTCGGTCTTCAAACCATAGTGGTGAGGAGGTCATTGGTGACCTTACTTGATGCTGCTTCCTGGAGTAATGGGGGAGAAAAAGAGTGACATGAAGAGATGGGGACAATGAGTTTAGCTAAATCATTTCTAGCAGTTTGGTCGTGAAATGGAGGAGAGAACTATGGAAACAGGTGAGGTGAGCTGAGGATCAAGAGGAAGCTCTTTTTATGAGCTATGATAAACTTGGGCAGTGGCTGAATGCAGATCCTGTGACAGGGAGATGCTGAATTCTCAGGAGAAAGAAGGGATCATGGACCCCATCAGGTGAGATGGAAGGATTGCTGTAGAGAGAAAGAGGGAACAAGAGAGGAGGGGACAGATGCAGTTAGAGTTTGCTGGTTGGTAGCAGGAACTGAGGAGATGCCTATCTGATGCCTTTCCATGAAGTAGGAGGAAAAGTAATCTGTTAAAGAAAAAGGAAGTGGTGAGGGGGTCGGCAGTTTGAAGAAAAAGCTCAGGATTGGAAAGGATCATTGCAAGAAGTGGAATTGTCATGCAGAGTGGGAGGATCATTTACGCTGGACTCATGAAGACACAGGCCCTGTGCTCTGCCCAGCTGGGTGGCTCTCCCCAGAGGTGTCTGCCTTCAGAAAGCAGATAATGGGTCCCTCCAAGACCTGCCAGAGGGTTCTAGGGAAAGACTGAGGGAGGCCAGGCAGATTAAGATATCAGCAAAGAGGTTACTGAAGCCTTGGTTTGTGCACTCTAACCTGGTATGAAGGGGCGTGAAGAGAGGCAAAAGATGAACCAGAAAAGAGAAAGGCCAGTGGACTGGTCATCCAAGTGACGTTGAAGGAACGCTCCAGGAGGAACAAATTGTAAGGAAGAAATCAGGCAGGGAAACTTTCAAAATAATTTTTTTAAAAGATTTTATTTATTTATTTGAGAGAGAGAACACACATGTGTGAGCTGGGCGAGGACCAGAGAGAGCGGGACGAGCGGACTCTGCACTGAGTGTGGAGCCTGACACAGGCCTTGATACCACAACCCTAAGATCATGCCCTGAGTCAAAATCAAGAGTTGGAGGCTTAACTGACTGAGCCACCCAGGCGCCCCTTGGATTAATTTTTTAAGATTGTTCAGAGATTGAACAATGGCTGTAGAAGGAGCAGACTTCAAGGATTAGATGTCAAAAAAGAGAATTCTGAAATTAATTATTGGGAGGTCGGGCCAGGCTTCAATGATGAGAAGGCCGATCGGTTGCCTTTGGGTGCAGGAGGCCAAGAATCAGTGCAGAAAAATATCACTGGAAAAGAGCCAAGGAAGGATCTGAGGGGCCTCTTATCCCTGTGTACCTTGAAGGTGTCCAGGATGGTGGCAGGACTTGAACTGACAGAAAAATTCTAAGTCAGCCTTTGAGGTGTGCTCAGGATTTGGGGGCAAATCAGGGATGATAGTGATGAAGAGCAACGGAACAGTTCATTTGAATGGTTAAGCCTCAAAATAGAGGATGGAGGAGGAAGGGGTTGGCCAGGGACGGGGGATAGCAAGCAGTGGGCATCCACCCTGCCTTCCACAATGAGTGATAGTGGAGAGTATGTATTCCTGTTTTAAAAAAGAAAGCAGTGGGTCCTCTTGTGGGAACCCATTTCAGTTAAAGAGGGAGGTACAACTAACCCTCTAAGAAGTTGTGGGTAAAGGAGACTTTGATGATTTCAGAGCAGGTGATTGTAATGGGTACATATTTCTTTCAATGGCCTTCAATGCCTTCTGGCTTCCCTACGATCTTCATGAAGGCTTTCAAGGAAGATGCAGTGAATGGGAGAAACAAGCTGTAAGGAGCATCGTGAGAACAATCACATGGTGGGTGCTTCTGACCACACAGGATCCAAAAAGCAGAAAGCACCTCCAAATTCATGCTCCCGACATCTACAGGAGAAAGGCAACCTTTCCTTACCTTTCTTGTTGGGAAGTGTGTTGGATGCCTCCTGGAGCTCTTTGGGGTCATTTGGTTCAGGAGAGTCATCTGTTATCACTAACAGAGGAAAGAGAAATCGGTTCAGAGCTTGGACTAGGCTGAAGGAAAAGTCCTAAGGGAGCTGAGGGCAGAGCAGGAGGGTGCAGAGCGCGTGTCACCTGGGGTGGGGGTGGGGTTCTACCAGCCCTCAGCCTCCCCGGCTCTGCCTTGATTTGATCAGCCTGTGGTTAGAATTACCTGTGTGGCCATCCCTGTGAAGCAGGGAACAATTGCCCCACAGAGGAGGGCTCAGTTTGACCCGTTTCGAGAGGCTCCCCTTATGCAGTAGAAGGGAGGAACACCGGCTCTCAGCCACCCTCACGCAAGGAATGAGGCTGCGAGTAGGGTGAGTGCTGACCTTGACTTCTGGTGGCTTCAATGAAGGGGAATGTCTTCGCCATAGGAAAAATACACGTTATTGCTTAGAGGTCTGTGAATGGATATTTTTGAACCGCTCTCTTTGTCATTATTTCACCTTGAAAAATGGTGAAGGAAGCTAAGTGCCTTATATATTTCTATGTACAAGGACTAAAAAAGCGGGCGCTAGCCTCAACTTGGCTAGCATGTGTTAATAGCAAATAAATACAAAGTTCTAGTTTTTGCTGCACGAGGAAGACAGAAGGGGCTGGAAGCCATAATAGATCTCAAGTAAGACTGCCACCTTCCCCTTGTTTACATGGTACTATGAGATCGATCTCAGATTTTGGCCTGCTTAAGAATAGGTCATTGAGGCAGATGGCAAGCAGTCCTGCGACATTTTAAATAATTTGTTGCATTTCAAATTATTTTAATCCTATCAACTCTTAAAAATCGAAACGATATAGAAATGACTAGGCTTGAAGATGAAACTTCCCCACAGTCAGGGTGGGGGCTGGGAAAAAGAGCCATCCACACCTGGGCCACACAGTGTTTTTGTTTGCTTCGCATTTGGATGGAGCAGTTTTGAGCTCTACCTTGTTGCAGGGACCTCAGAGCATGGGTGAGTTACACAGTTCTGCTCTGACTCAGTCCCCTGTCCCTTCCCCAGGGTTCCTGCCACCAGCCTTAGCAGACCTTCTAGTGATGTTTGCAGCACGAAGATGGTGGTCCGGGGTGGCGAGGAGAGCCCTGTCTCAAGAAGATCCGAACGGCCTCTCCTCTTGGTAGATATGGAAAGTAAGGCAAGCTAAACTTGTCTACATGAAAATTACCCGGCATGGGGCCTGGTGGGACATCTCTTGAGCATTTTGTTATCTCTTATCTGGGGGCTCAGGTTGTTACCGGACACTGAGCCGAGGAAGAAGAGGAATTTCAGGTCCCAGGACCAACGAACAGGGACCAGAGGGGGAGGAACAACACCGATCTATTCCAGCCAGTAAAAACAATGGCACCAACTGAACACCAAAGCCCGGCACGGGTGGGATAGAGGGGGAGAGTCAGCCATCATTTCCTTTCAACTAGCTACTTACTAATTTTTTTCTACTTTATTATTATTTTTTTAATTTTAATTCTAATGTAGTTAACATACAGCGTTATATTACTTTCAGGCGTAGGATACCGTGATTCATTACTTAACTAATTTCACAATTTCTTTCTTTCTTTTGGTAACCTAGAAGATGGAATCTTCCATTGTTACTGGCTTCATGATTACGTTATTTGGGTGGTGTGTATTAGAGGAGTGAAGGAAACATTTGGACCAAACGGGGCCCTTTATGCTCAGTTTTGGAGAATCCACGATACCATTTTTGACAGAGCCCGATAATACTCCGTGGTTATATTTAATGCAATCAAAGTCCTTAATAATGATGGTTGGGAGCGATAAGAAACACAATTTTGGAAGCTAAATCTTTAGCAGATCCTTCAACGTTTTATCATCTTTTTTATTAATTTCAATAACATTACTCTTAGAGTCCAAACCACATAAAAATGAATATGATTGAAAGGCCCCTGTAATCAGAGGGTGAGCGACCGAGTAAGGGTCACAGAGGGATGTATTGCACAAGTTACGTGTCAGTTCAGAACACTGTTATTAGTTGGACATCATGGCATCAAACTGGCTGTGGAGACATCCCTGACAAGTAGTCCTGTGCTGAGCTGGGGCATCAATCTCCCTGTTTCTTTTTCTTTGTCACACCCAGTTCTTTTCCCTTAGGCTTCCGTCACAAGCCTCTGGGTTGGCAGGTGCATGTCTGCCCTTCAAACCCGCTCCGAACTAAACTAAGTCAGCCCCAAGCAATATTACCTTGCACAGTGTCAGGGGGAGTGCCGGGCATCTCTTGTGAGTCTTCTTCACCATTTATTTGGGATGTTAAGTTGTCATTGGGCACTGAAGAGAGGAAGAAAAATCATTACAGGGTACAGAGACAGAGTGTCAGGGAGGAAAGCAAACGGTAAAAACACCCAAGACAGAAGCCCCAATGCCCCAGGGCAAGAGTTGGCCTGCTCCAGGGGTGGGGAGCTGGTGTTTGGGCTCTAGGCTTTCCCCAAGGCCCTGGCAGTGCCCATAGTCCTTGGAGAAGGCTGTGTGTGGTAGGTAGGCACATGGGATGGACCAGATTAACAAAAAGGTGGGACCCTGGGCTTCTAGACATGACCACAGTACCCTAGGCTGGGGAGGCACAGGTGTCAGACAAAGTCTTCCCCTCACCTGGAGTGATCCTTCCTTCCTGGGTGGTTCTGGGGAGAGCCACAGCAGGGTCAGAAGGGCTGGATGGTTCGCCCGTGATCTCAGCGCTGTGCTGTGTGGATGCGCTGGGCTCAGTGACACTGGGAGCATGGGGTGGGTGGCTCTGGGGTGGGGGCAGCTGCAGCGCCGTCTGGAGGGAGCGCCCTCCTCCTGGGTTGGCTGGAGTTTCGAGGAGGGTCAGCGCAGCTCTGTTCCATCCTCCGTAGGAATTGACAACTGGGATTGGTGAAGGAACACACATCAACACCCTGGCTACTCAGAATGATTAGGGAATTTCTTTGTACAAGACTTCCGGAGGGTTGGGGGCATGGAGCAATTCACCTTCTTCCAAGTGCGGAGAACTGATTCATCGCCAGCATCAACTGTTTGTGGCCCCTTTCTATTCTATGTGTTTGATTTGGGCATTAGACCTCTGGTCTAATACTAAAGTTGTTTCACCCATAAAGCTGAGTTTGACTTTGTACTCAGGGATTTAATTTTCTTTAGTTTTTCTTTAATTTTGGTTTCAGAATTTAGACAATTTTGTATAACGTTATAATTTTAATACATGTTCCTGTTTTAATAAATAAACACATCACATCCCCTGTAGCAAATAAGATAAAATGTAAATTCCTTCACAGGGTGCATCCTTTCTACTCTGGTTTCTGCTCATTTCTTCAGAACGAGCTTCTGTGTTTCCCTGCCTCACACCCTATGATGGGCCACACCAACCTTCCTCCCCATCCTCAATACTCCAGGCCCTTGGCTTTCTGCATGCAATTCCTTCCATGGCCAGGTTTCTCTTATGATTCTTCTCCATCATTTATTTCAGGAGTTGAGTTGTCTCAACCAGTGAACAGAAAAAGGAATTAAGGTGGGATTTTGGAGAAGGGCCTGGAACAAAAGCACAGATTTGCAGATCCAGAAAGACGTATGAGCTCGGCTAGGCTGGGGGGCCCCGCAGTGTGTGGTGCCTCTGGCTCTCAGACTGACTTAGGGTGGCTTCTGAGAACCCAGTCCTCCCCGTGCCGCCCTGATGCTGCCAGGAGCACGGGCTCAAGTGCACCGGTGCCAGCCGGGAGGGGCGCTTTTCTCTTTCCTTGCCTCTTTAGCTCAAGGAGGCATTTCTCCTTTGGGGGAAGAACTTCTTGCTGTCAACAGTGGTTACCCCACTAACAGAATGGCACGATGCAGTGTGATCTGCTGGTCCTCTTTCTGTTGTTCTCAGCTAAGTGAACCATGCGCTTTGGCCAAAGTGTTTGTCCTTAAACCTAAAATGATCGTGTCATCTCTTTCTCTTGCCCTGGCTTCTTCCTTCCCAGCTCTGTCCTTGCTCTTTCTCCTGCTTTTTATTTATCCAGCTCGTACTCATTCCCAGTGTGCGTCACATTCTGCTTCCTTCTTCTACGCTCTCTCTGTCTTCAGCTCCTTCTCCCCTCTCCTCCAGCTTCACACTCTGCCTTCCACCTGTCCTTGTTTAAAAGAGGGATTGAAATCTCAGGCCCCGGTGCTAGGAAACCCAAGTAGGACAGCTGGCTCTGCTCTTAGCAGACAAGTAACTTTGGGAAAGTTATTCTGAGCTTTAATTTCTTCATATGTCAGATGGGGATAATAACGACTTCACAGGATTGTTTTAAAGATGATATGAGATAATCATATAAAGTGCTTGGGACGATGCCTGGTACATAGTAAGTACTAAAAAAAAAAAAAAAAAGATACTTACTGTCCATCCATATTCATTTCTCTTCCCCTCTGGTTCTCCTCATCCTTCTGTCAGACTGAGTCTCTGCAACTGCATTTCCCTAGAGACTGCCCAGTGAGGTTTACTGGACAACTTTCCCCCCACTTCATAGAACAGGTAAGACAGAAATATGTCCTCTGGAAATTCATCTTAGAGAGCTGGGGCCAGAGGCTGCTCGTCCTGGTACACCAGTGAGAGAGTACGCTCCCTATCGCCCCAGAGAAACCAGCACTCAAGGGCCTAATTCCACGGGGCTGAAAGGCAACCCAAACTTTGAGGGTAGCAGCTTCTGGCATGCTTTTATAGCCCAAGGATATTCAAGAAGCCTCGTACCACTTCTGAAGCCCTTGAGAATCATCGTCAGGTTGGGGTATTCACGCAGGTTAATTCGGCTGAACAGCATCTCCAGAAATGACAGATTGGAGGTCTTTTCCAGGTGGGTGAGGATGTTGTACACCACTCTGGGTACGGGGACCTGATTTCTACAGGCTTCCATGGATTCCTTAAAAAATGGAATCGAGGATTATTATAAATGATTATAAAATGGAATGGAAGTTTATTATACATTTGTGGTTTTCTAAGTCGTAGGAATGGTATTTTGTTCTGTTAAGAAGGAATTTAACACAAATGTACAGTCAAACTGTAACGTAGAAAAGTCACAGTTCCACATGTTTATTTTTAGAACTTCACATATATTTGGATTGTTAGTCATAGGAATAAATAACAGTCTTCTTTAAAATAAGTCTGCTTTGTGAACCTTATTTTAGGTACATTTGAAGGAAGAGAGAAATTTTAGGGAAGGAAAAGGGGAGTCAAAGGTTTTTACTGTGTAATTAATTCTCTAAGGCTCTGAGCAGAACTCTGTGGCAATGGACCAAGGAGTGGGTCACAAGTGGCAATTCTGCAATTGCTTATTAGCCTCTGTTCTCTCTCTCTCGGACTTGGGATGGCCTGAATGGCTTCTAGCCACAGGGAAATCACCCAGCAAACTCCTCTTCATGAAAGGCTGGCCAGAAGGAGAAACATGGCAAGAGAGAACTGACTGCATAACACTTACTGAGCACCTACTAGGCTAGTCCTGGCGTACATAGCAATGGATAAGATCGCCATGGTGTTACCCATATTGGGGGAGGGATTCTGTCACGTGCAGAAGATGGGCATTAAATAATAAACAAATTTAAAAAATGCTCAGTTGCTACTGAGAGAAGTGTTATGAAAGGAAAGCATAGGTTTCTCTGAGAAATCGGTTAGATGAGTGGGTTAAGGAAGCCTCTCTGAGTAGTGACATCTGGGCTGTGACGTGAAGAGCGGTTGGAGCCAACCAGGCCGAGACTGGGAGAAGATCGTTCAACCACCGCTGCACTTCCCTGGGCCTGGGACTCAGGAAATGCATTAAAAAACCCCCAAATTATAAAAGAATGCCATTTTTGTCCACCCTGCTGTGTCTTCCAATGCCTGCCTTGCTTCACATCTGAATGGACTATGCCCAACAAATTCTTGGGAATTGGGAGTGTACCCTTAGTGGGTTGAATGGTGTCACCGCTCCAAAAAGATATGTCCACTTGAACCCTGTGAATGTGACCTCATTTGGAAAAAGGGGACATTGGAAGAATTACATTTGCAGATGTAATTAAGTTAGGCTCTTGAGATGACATTACCTTGGATTAAGGTGGGCTCTAAATCCCAATGACCAGTGTCCTTATAAAAGAAGAGAAGGAGAAAAGACAAGGAAAGGAAAAGGTGATGTGGAGATTGAAACAGTGATTGTAAGTGATTTTTCTACAAGCCCAGGAACACAAAGTGTTGCTGGTACCACCAGAAGTTAGGAGAGTCAGGGAATGGATTCTCCCTCAGAGCCTCGAGAAGGAACCAACCCTGCCAATACCTTGATTTTGCACTTCTGGCTTTCAAAACTGTGAGACAATACATTTCTCTTGTTTTAAGCCCCTGGGGTTGAGGTCATTTTTATGGCAGCCCCTGTGACCCCGTCTTCCCCTGATAATGAACCTTTGGGACTAGGCCGTCCGAGCTCCAGAAGCCCTGGGCCTTGGGGTTTGAAACCTCAGTAATGGGGACTTCTTGGTGGGGGCTGGGCTGCCATGGGAAAGTGGGCAGCGTGACTCACCCGGTATATTGTCTCCGTGATGAAGGAGCCGTCTCGGAGGCCTTCGAGGAAGGGAAATGGCTTGTATATGGCATAGGCAATCTCCAGCTTCTGGTATACGAAGTGCTGGAGAAGAGCCTCTTCTAAGGCGCTGGTCATGGTGAACATCCTATGAAAGAGGCATGAGAGGAGAGGAAAGACTCTGGGAACTTGGGGAGCTGCTCTTTGTGCTCAGTGGGCATCTTCAGACCGGCATCCTGGTACCAAAGGTAGTAGCCCTTGGTAGTCTGCAAAGCAACTCCTGCCTCAAAGCCTCATGGGCATAAGAGGCAATGACCATGCCCAGTGACCATGGAGGCAGAAAGTAACCTAAAAGATGATGCTGAAATCCCAAAGGGGCTGCTGGTAAACATAAGACAGATATTCAAAATAGCTAGTACCTATTGAGTACTTCCTACGTGCCAGGCTTTGTTCTAAGGGTTTCACATGCAACAACTTATTTGATCTTCACAAAACGCTTGCAAGATGGTTACTATGATTGTACCCATTATATTGTGAAGGACACCGAGACATAGAGTTGTTTACTAAGTTGCCCTAAATCACACGACTTGGAAGTGGTAGAGGTAAACAAATTCCAACTTTCTGCTTCTAGGTTTATGGTCCTAAGTTCTATGGTCCGTGGCAATGTTGGATGGAGTTAAGATTGCCGGGGCGGCAGCTTAACACAAACACTAGCAAAGCTTGTAAAAAGGGACCACCCAATAATGAGTAGAAAGATGAAAACCTGATAATATTTAGAAAATTTAGTAACCCACCTACAATCTTTGACACACAAGCAGGCCAAACATAAGCAGACATGAAAGATGTGAAAGAAATGATTAGTAAAGGCAAAGTAACTAATTTATTATATGTATCAATTTCATATCTCAGAACAGACATGCACCTTTCCCATGCCCATGCAACATTTATAAAAATTAACCACTGATAGACCAGGAGAAAATATCCATGTTATAATAGGCAGGAAACATACAGATAATATTCCTGACAAATTGTCAAGAAAAGAGTACTAACAAAAAGTTCAACCATCCAGAGATATTTTTTACAACAAAACAGAGATCCCATTTTTCCAATTTCATTTTGTGTATGACTGAAAATTAAACTGTAAGTAATGACTGTTTCCAGGATTAATCCCAGTGGTAGAATGAGCAGCCCTACTCTCTCTACTCATTCCCACATCCTTTAAGTTTGACAGAAAAAAAAGAAACATATTGTAAAAATAGAATAATCCATAATAGTACTGGAAAAGAAAAGATGCCATAAGAGGTCTATAATCGTGAAGAAATCCTGGAAGATTGAGAACAGGTGGAAGGGAAATCTAGCATCCATGATATAGACAGAATCCATCATACGGGGAAGAATACTGCAAAGATCAGCACAGAGCCAGAGAAAGCCAGAATGAACAGGTGGTAAGAAGCGCAAGTGGCCGTGGGGTTACATTTAGGATGATTAATCATACTACAGCATTCCGAACATAATATCCACCAGGTTCCTTATCCTTCATCTGTTATAATTCTCAAGAATGAAAGCAAGGCACAGAGAGGTTAAGTAACTAGCGCAAGGTTGGCAAAGCTGAGCTTGTCTGACTAAAGCCCCATTTTTTACTAGTGCATGATATTGGGTCTCATATGCTAGTGTTCAGATTTTTATCATGTAAAGGAGTCTTAAAAACGAATAAACAAAAGACAAACATCCGCATAGAAAAAAAAGCAAAACACAAATAGGCAATTAAGTCAAGTGTACAATAAATATATAAAAAACATGGCAATTCACTAGTAGTTGGGACAGTACAAAAGAAGACAACTTAATAATGTTTGTCTATCAAAATGTTCCACATAAAGAATAAAAGCAATAATCACAGATGCTCCTGGTGAAAATGTAAAAAGGTCCAAATGTTCTGGAGGCTAATTTAGCAATCAGGGTCAGACGCTCTGAAGTATATATTCCCTTGAGTCCCAAATTCCACTTCCAGGAATTTATTTCAAGGAAGCAATCATAAATGTGCTTCAAAATATATATATAAAAAGTGCATGGAACACTGGAGAGGAAATTAAATGTTCTCTCCTTATTGTCTCTTTCCCACCAATTACCTCTAGTCACTTGCACAATGGATAATAAATGAGTTGCCCATTTGGGGCGGAGTGCAAATCACAAAGCACAGAAGAGAAGAGTAGAGACCAAATCTTGGTTCCATCCACAACAACAGGCTAGAATTTAGGGAAAGAAGGACTGAGCTGTGTCTCTGCTCCCCCACCACTCCCACGTCTGTCCCCCTTTTTCGGAGTCTCTGGTTAAATCCCACATTGCTCTCTATCTTTGGAAGACAATATTTTACGAAGAGAGAGGCTCACAGTTTCAATAGTTGGGTTCCACCCTGTAGCTGCTGCCAGGAAATGAGCTATCAGAGCCCAATCACCAAAAGAAAGAATAAAGCAGCTGAGACAAAAACCCACCTGGATGCTGGGTCAGCCACCTGCTCCTGCCCCTTTCCCGGTCCAGGGATCACTCCTGGAAGACTGAGAGAACAGCAGGGAGATGGCAGTGGGTGAAACAGGAAGTCTGTGCTTTGCCACATGCAGAGAGGGCCAGGCTTCCGGAGAAAAGAAAAGTGAAAGTATTTGGAGCAGATCGTGCAGGAAGCTGAAGACAGTGCCGGCTGCCTCCCTCCATCTCCGTCCAGACACTTGTGAGGTTCCCGGGGCATTTAGGGGAGTTGGGGGTGGTGCCTTCTAGACCAGCCTGGGGAGGGGTGTGCAGAGGGGAGGAGGCAGAGCCGTCCAGCCCCAGGGGCCACAGGAGGGAACTGGGAATCTACCATCTATGTGCTTCCCTACCCACTTCTATTTCCCCAGGCCTTGTTTTTCTTCTGTACTTCTGGGGGGATTAAAATGTTCCCACACTGAAGTGGGGTGATGGTTCTACAACTGAATAAATTTACTAGAAATCATCAAACTTTAAAAAAACAAACAAAAACCAGAGGGGAGGGGAGATGACTCAGAAATGCCCATAATTTGTCAGGATAAAATTATTGCCTAAGAAAGTTGAGATAAAAGGGAACCTGAATATAATCTGAAATTACATAGAGGTAGGCAGCTCTCTGGGCAGGAAAGTGATCAGGGGCCAGGCAGGCATTTGGGAGCCGTGGATGTGAGGAAGTCAGGTCTAAGGCAGAGCTGGGGCCAGGAGAACACTCGAGAACAGCCACTTCAGGGAAGGCAGGATATCCCCTCCACACACCCTTTATAGACTCCTTATGTACATTGGCATGGAAGGTCTGTGAGAACACAGAAATCTATTTGTTTAACGTTATTTAAATCAATAATTCTCAAATGTGTTCTACTCATGAGCTCCCCTTACCAGGACACCCATGCTTTTTCCTTAGGAAAAAAAAAGATGGGAGAAAGGGTTCTGGGGTCTAAGAAGCCTTGAAGCCAAGGCTCACGTGCTCGAGTGAGAGCCCTTCCATGCTTGCTATGGAGGCACCAGCACCCCCGAGCATTTTCTAGAGCAACAGGCTCAGCCCTGGTGTGGGAAGGTCACCACTGTAAGAATGACAGAAGCATAGGAGCCTCAGGAATCCCATGGTAATGGAGGGAGGCCCAGGACACAACGTGATGCTCACAGCCAAGGAGAGGGTTCTGTGGTGCTCAGTAGCACACAGCACTGTGCGGTGCAGGGACGTGGGCAGCGAGAGGGATTCAGATCATTTTGTACAATTGTCACACTTCATTTACCTGAAGCCCTCCACTTACCCTGGAAGACCCCCTCATGGACACTGGACATCCCAGCCTGGAACCAAGAATCTCCTCCTTTAGACCTGCCCAGAGATAGATTAGGCAAAGCCACCAAAAAAAAAAAAAAAAAAAACCAAGACTGGAAAAATAATGCCAGCTCGGTCAGTACTGATTAAACTAGAAAAAGATGTGAATAAAGATAAAAGATGTTTCTATCTCAGCCACGCATGCTTGAGAATACAGTAATAATGGGAAAACTTCCGCTGTTCATTTCAATGACACATGTACTGAGAATTTACTAAAATTAGGTATAATTCCTTTTTAGCTCAATTTTATTGAGGTATAAAATGCATTCGTCCTAAAGTGTACATTTAACTTGATGAGTTTTAACAAGTGTAATCCTAATTACAGTTAAGATATAGATCATTTCCATCATTCCAGAAAGTTCCCTCATACTCTTTGCAGATAGCCTCCTCCCCAACCTCAGCATCAGGCAAGCCTGATGTACCTCCTATTACTATAGATTCTTTTTACTGGTATCAAAGTTTTACATAAATGAAAACATGCAGTAGGTGCATTTTGATGTGTGGCTTCTTGGGGTCATCATAATGCTCTTGAGATTCACCTCTGTTATTGAGGGTCAATAATTTATTCCTCTTTAGCTGGTGTGCTGGCCAACTCTTGTTCATCCTGTCCAATCACCATGATGTCACCAATGTAATTGATCAGTGTGATGTTCTATGGGATGTCCAGGTGATCCAGATCTCTTCAGATTATATTATGACAGAGGGCAGGTAAGTTAATATAACCCCAAGACAAGACTGTAAATGAATGTTCCTATCTGTCATGCAGGAACTAAAACTCTTTCTGATCCTCCTTTCCAACCAGAATGGAAAGAACACATTTGCCAAATCAATGGCCACATTGTACCTGAGGTCCATGGAATGACCTGGGGTCCATGGAATGACCTGGGCTGGGGATCTCACCGCCCAGACGGCTTATTTTCTTATCCCAGTCTTTGGCCATCCTGTAAATTCTGAGAGTTACCCAATATATGTCTAAGAAATTGATTTTTCTGCCTGAGTTAGCCAGTGTCAGTTTTGATCACTCAAACCCCCAAACTTCAACTGATTAAAAGTTGGTACCAGAGAATGAACTGTGGGCAATGAATCTTCACAGAAATACGCTCAAACTGAGTTTGGTTATCTGACCTACCTGGACATAAACGTAGTGGACATCCCATTGGTGTTCAAAGATGGGAGTTTGGTAGACTTTGGCAAACAGGGGCAAAGTAACACATTAACTTCTAGCACTGGATTGTGTTTAGGACTCTACATTTCACTCCCAGATTCCAAGTGCCAGATCTTAGCACACTTAGCAAAATGGAGAGGAATTTTTCAGGTTGAAAGAAAGCATTGACTGGCCTTCAGAGATTCCCACCTCCTTGGCCTAAATCTGGATGGGAAAACAGAGACAGGATGGAGGCCAGAATCTTCTTATCCCACGGGTCATAGGGAAGAAAAAGAAAACAACTCTACCCCTGTGTTAGGAACCAGCGACTATCTGATGGGCATAGATGGTCTTGGTCCAGGATCTGTTATCTCAGGGAGATTGGTTCTCTAGTGAACGTAGAGAAAAACAAGACAGGGGGGGAGATACAACTTAAATTCCAGCCTATTGTTATCTGGGCTAATGCATGATATTGCAAAGTAGGGCTTTCTTGTAAACTTGACGGACTTCCCCTGAGGAATGCCAAAGACCTTGTGCTTCCAAGCAAAAGAAGCTGGCCCATTTATGTCATTGTCCCGCTGAGTGGTGGCCTGGGTCTGCCTGCTGCTTAAGGGCAGGAAGAGGAGAGAGAGAGGAGACACCACAGCAGGCTCTTGTAGTCTGTGCCAGGCCTTATCCGGGCTACTGTGCCCCATGAAGAGGACAGCCATGCCCAACAGAGGCTCAGCTTCACAGCCCATTTGCCCCGCAACGTGAGAGAGGGAGAGACAAAGGACAGGCAGTGGGTGGTGACAGGCAGTCCCAGGTGTGCGCAGCGCCTGGTAGGCACGCAGACCCCGTCCACTGGGAAGATGTCCTCATCAATATCCCAAAATCTGGAATCTGTCCCAGCCAGATGGATGTTCGCTTCTTTGGAGGAAAGAGCGAGCAGAAGTGGGCAGAAGGGTAGATATCTCTGGCCCTCTATACTTGGCAAACAGATTTGTGCAAATTTCTAGCACATCTATAATGAGCCAGAAGAAGCAGGATTCGGTGGAATATACTTTGGAAACATCCTGCTTTGCTTCTGGTTCCCCAGACCTCGCCTGCTTTGGCCCACTGCTCTGAGCGAGGCCCTGGATTCTGCAGATGCCTGGGCTCTCATTTGCTTGTCTTGGATTCACTGTCCTACCTGGATTTCTAGTCCTCCAGTTTTGTTTATTTTATTTGCGCTTTGCTCCCGTTTCTTTTTCTTCCAACTTTATGCTGATACGGTGTGTTCTTGTAAGTTCCTTCAAACCCTTTACAGAATGAAGGCCGGCTATGTGTGAAAAAAATTCTGTACAAACATAAATGTGATGCACTTGGTAGCTAGCATCCCATTGTCCTTTGAGGTCTAGGTAACGTCAGTTCCAAACCCTTTCCCCATCCCGTGGGAAGCCTGTCGCCCTGATTTCAGGGACGAGTTGAAGCTCAGTTTTTTCTAATCACCCTGGCTGCATTTGTAAAGTGCCCATGAATTCGAGAAAACTTAGAATGGCACACCAGGCTTCTCTGGTCAAACTTGGCACTTCCCTCGGGTTGCAGGAGTGGGGAGTTTTCTCGGGTCTTTGGCTGCTTTCCAGCAATTTGAGGAACATCTTCCCCACCTCATAAGGCTGAGCATTTCAGCTCTTCTCAGCCCTGTGTCCAGTCCGGGCTGAGTACTGTGCCCGGCCAGATCTGAAATGCCTGGCTTTCCTTCTTTCCCTCTCACGACCACCTGAGCAGAGAGAGGCAGGGGCAAACATGGGGTTCACTTCCTGCCCCCATACATTCTGCTCCCTCACCACGAGGCAACCTGGATCCATTTGAGTGAAATCAACTTTTCTGCACTCTTTCCTTTGCATGAACAGTGACCTGTCTGCCGTGGAGACTGAGCTGGCCCTGCTCCTCCTCCCTGGGGCTGAGAACTGCCTTAGATATTGGGCACAGGGGGACCTCGTGTTGGTACAGCCACATCACGCTGTTCAACGATTTCACTTTTACCCTTTGGGTGTCACACAGGAGAGATCGACCAATTGGTAGACTTTCTCCTCAGAGCTCCGGGGAGGCACAAAGGCAGTAAACATCTGCTCAAGGTTGACCCTGGGCCAGCTCCATGACCCCGTGGGGCTGGTAGTGGCAGATGGCGGGTGGAGGCAGCCAGCTCAGCCGCAGGTTGGTCCTAACCTCCTGTCCTTGATCCCCAGGTCAGCGTCTACCCTGGTAGACTGTCTTCCCAGACTCATTCCACAGGTATATGACAGAACAAGATTACACATAAATAAATACCGGGGAAATCAGATTTCTTAAATCATAGCAGATTAGCTGCTGGGGAAACTTGGAGCCACGTTGACTCATGTCATTTTCTTATTTCCTTGCAAAAGCCATGCAGCTGGACTGGCGTGGGTGGGACTCCCTGGGTCTCTCGAGGCCTTGCTGCGGGGTTCCCTGATTCCCACGCCCCACGAATCCTCTTATTTTCCCCCACGCCTCCTCTCTCCCTACCCCAGCCCCCAAAAGACAACTCTGCCCAGAAAAGTTTCTTTTAGAAAAAGTAACGTTGAAATTGGATGCCTGTTGTCAAACTTCTTGTTTCTGGGCAGCTGGGGGCTAGTTCTGCTCAGAGCTCATCTAAGCAGGGCATCTGAACACCAACGAGTTAGGGGAAGTGAAAGCAGACCCAATACCGACAAATGCAACTAGGTGGGGAGGGAGGCGTTGCTTTATCTCTTGCGGTGTGTTACACATTTGACTAGGGAAGGAGGGAATTTGTCATCTAAAAACACAAGACAAAGACTTCAACCCATTCTTGTTAGAAACTAAAGCAACGTAAAAGTGTGTGGAAATCCCCTAACCCAGACTCCAGGGCTGGCCGGACCCCAACAAGGCACCCGCATTGCTATCAGCAGCTGCAGAAGGTAGGTCCTCAGCACCCAGCACCCAGCACCCAGCACCCTCCCTCCTGGCAGCCAAGGATGCAGCCCACAGCTGCTCCTCCACCTGGTCCCGAGAGATGGGAGATGAGCAAGCTTGAGTCCAGCCAGTCCTTGGCCTCCAGGTAGGGAAACGAAGGCACTGAGAAGTGAGGATGGGGTAACGCTGACCTCATAAAATGAGCTGGGAGGTGCTGCGTTTTCTTCTATTTTCTGGAAGAGATTGGAGGGGACTGGTATCATTTTTTCTTTAAATGTTTTGTAGAATTCACTAGGGATACCACCTGGTCTGGTGCTTTCTTTTTTTGAGGTCTATTTTTTTTTAAGATTTTATTTATTTATTTATTTGAGAGAGAGAGAGAGAGAGAGAGAGAGAGAGCCCGTGCGTGTATGCACACACACCCATGAGTGGGGGGTGGGGGGGAAGAGCACAGGGAGAGGGAGAGAGAATCTCAAGCAGACTTGACGCCGAGCGAGGAGTCTGATGTTGGCCTTGATCCCACAAACTTGAGATCATGACCTGAGCCTAAATGAAGAGTCAGGTGCTCAAATAAGCCACCCAGGCACCCCTTTTGGAGGTCTATTAATCATTGATTCAATTCTTTTAACAGATATAGGTTATTCAGATGATTGTTTCTCCTTGTGTGAACTCTGGTAGTTTGTGTCTCTTAAGGAATTTGTCTGTTTCATCTTCTATCAAATTCTTGGTCATAGAGTTTTCTGTGGTATTATTTCTCTATCTTTTTAAGGTCCATGGGATTAATAGTGATGACCCCCTCTTTCATTTCTGATATTAGTAATGTCTGTCTTCCTCTCTTTTACTTGGTTAGCTTTTCTAGAGGTTTATCAATTTTATTGATTTTCCCAAAAAATCAGCTTTTGACTTCATTGATATTCTCCAGTATTTTCCTGTTTTCAGTTTCATTGACTTCTACTCTAATTTTTATGACTTATTTTCTTCTGCTTGTATTAGGTCTCAGTTTTTCTTTTTTCTTTAGTTTCTATAGGTGGAAGCTTAGATTATTCATTTAGATCTTTCTCCTTGTCTAATATTGTGCATTCAATGCTGTATATGTTCCTCTAAGCCCTACTTTTGCTACATCCTATAAATTTTAATAAGTTGTGTTTTCATTTTCATTTAGCTCAAAATATTTTATAATTTCTCTTGATGCTTCTTCTTTAACCCTAGAAGTGTGCTCTTTAATTCCAAGCATTTGTGGGAATTTTCCAGCTATCTGTTATTTCTACTTTTATTTCATTATGCTCTGAGAACATATTTTTAAATGATTTCTATCTTTAAAATTTTTTAGAGTGTGTTTTATAGCCCAGAATATGGCATATTTTAGTAAATATTCTGTGTGAGCTTGAGGGGTATGTGTATTTTGTTGTTGTTGAGTGGAATATTCTATCAATGTCAACTAGATCAGGTTGATTGATGGTGCTGTTCAAGTCAACTATATTCTTACTGATTTTCTTCCTGCTTGATCTATTAATTACTAAAATAGGGGCATTGAAGTCTCCAACAATTGTAGGGGATTTGTCTATTTCTCCTTGTAGTTCTATCAATTTTTGGATCATGTACTTTGATGCTACTTTGTTAGTTGCGTGCACATTAAGGATTCCTGTGT